ATTAACGTGCGTTAACGCAATAATTTTGACAGCCCTAATATATATATATATATATATATATATACATATACACATATATAGAGATGAGATGATACTTTATTATCTCACAATGGAGAAATTCAGTCTTACATTATAAATTATTATTATATTCTTACTGTCAGTGACAAAAACCTCGACTGCAGTCATGATGTCTTTGTATATTTTGTCGATGCTGATCCAGTACTTCCCGGTGTCTTCAAACGTTAGTCCTCTTACGTGGACAAACAGCCCTCTTTTTCCTCCGTCAAGTACAGTCCACCGCTGTGACTTTTTGGATTCCGAATCTGTCACAACTTCACAGAAATCTTGCAAGCTTCCTCTGCACCAGTATTTTCTACTGAACAGAAAACGGGTCGTGTCGTATGAACAAGAGACGACAAATTCAGCTCCGATATGTGCTGTCACCTGGGTTCTGTCGCACTTTAACTGGTGACTCACTGCCAGACATAATGAAATAGGATTAAAGAATGTAAAAGCAGGATTCTTGTTCTCTGTTTCGTGTACATTCAGGTAAATGGTTACCATAGTCTCCTTAAAACTAATCCAAATACCAAATATACCAACTGAGCCACTGTCACCCCTCTGAGGATCTGTCACGAACTATAGCAGTTTTTCTTCCAAAAATGTCCTGTATTTTGCCTCGACCACCTTCCCATCAACTCTAACGCTCACTGATCAATGCGGCCCTTGTTTGAGTTTTTAGTTTGAGTCAGGCGGACATGTTTTGGAAGATTAACAGTGTGGATTAAACTGTGCTCTGTGAGATTCTACAGGTTGAGTAATCTGTGTATGACCTAACCCTGCTTAAAACGTTTTCTCAAACTTACAAATTGACGACTGCTGTTGTGAAATGGGGGTATACAAATACAAACGATTTCAAATGAATTGGTGGTGTTCAAAAAAAAAAAAGTTATTAAATGTAACTAAAAATATTGTCTTTTTCAGAAACTGCCGTTTTTAAATCCAATGACCTTATGTGGTATTCACTGAAACTGAAATCCCTCAAAACTGTTTTCCTGATTTAAATTCCAGAAAATGTACTATTAACTTAAAGTAAACCTAATTTATTCCCAAATAAAACAGTTTTTTATGATTAGAATTAGTATTAGTAACATATTTTGTACATACATTTTCAAAAGATATTGCATATTTATGACTCCCCGCCCTAATACCAAATACCAAAAATAGCGATGATGAGGAGGTGTTTCTAAGTAGGTTGTGCACTAATTGATCTTATAATTGCATGTTCTCGCGACAGATTTTTATCAGAAATAGGAGTTAAAAGCATGATACATCAAAATCACACTATGCTAATGCTCAAGATTGTGTCTAAAGAATGATAATTTACTCACCATTGATGAGACAGATAATAAAGAAGAGCTTCATTTTGTTTTATGTCAAGCCCTCATCAAACTAGTGCCACAGGAAGCTGCAAACATGTGGACAGTTGCTTTATGCAAAATGAAAATGTGCTTGTAAACCACAGAAAAGGTACAGTAAGCTAGACATAACCTCAGCTCTGCAACGACGTTGTGAGAAGTTGGGGGGTGTTTAAGATAAATAATTAAACAAAACTGAAGTTGAAAATAATCATATTAATTTGAGGTGACATTTGTTAGCCAGGTGGAAGAAATATGTTTGCATCACTGTCACAAGAATTGCCAGGCGGGCACAAGGCCACATACTTACAAGATTATTTATGCTTTAAATAAGAAACATAATGCTTTTTTTGTCCTGAAGAAATATGGATTATTTGTTTTAGAAACAATATCGTTACTAGAAAATATATGGTGATGTATATATTTTCTAGTGGCTAGTGGCCTTTGGGCCTGAAGGTCGTGGGTTCGAGCCCACCACGAGACCTACTTCATGACTCCCACTGATGACTGTGGGAGTGTCAAGACACTCAAGAGGATCAGTGCTGCTCTGACTGCCCTGACTGTCCCCGCTCCCCCGACCCAGAAATGGATTAAGGGGAATAAAATGGATGGATATATGGAAGTATGTACAGTTACAATTAAAAAAGCTTTCTGCCTGTGACGCCCCACACATACAGGAGCTGAATTTGAGTATCAACTCCAAAAAATCCACTCCAGGTTTGTTTTATATATAATATGTATTATATGCCTCATTTAGTTTGGTGAGACATCCTATCATCCAAAGATGCAGTGGAGATGATTCATTTCAATAAAACATTTTGCAATGATTGACATATTTCTAGGGCATGATCAGTAGTAATCATGCGGTCTTGTAAATTGCAAAAACAATTTTGTTGTGATTGGCTAATTACAGTGAACTAGAAGTCAACATTTTTGACAACCTCAGCCAAAACATATCTGTAATTGTACCGAGAATAAGAGCCATCCCTTCTTAAAAGTAATGCTTTTTTACAACTAGGCATGGAGCTTTAGGAGCTCTAGTGAAACAAACAAAATTAAATTAAATACTTAGAACATTTAGAATTTTTTTTTACCTATTTGTGAACTTTGAGGATTGTGTCTCAGTTGTAGACACTCCCTCGGCATCTGTGCTCCACTCCTCTGAATGTCGTCCAACAAGATCGACTGCCTTCTCACACTGACTCTACTGTCTCTGGTTTTAGATATTTATGAGACATGTAGCAATATTCAATCTAAATATCTTCTAGCCAGACGTGTCAAAAAGAAACTTCAAACAACAGATGTATTGTTATATATTGCAGTTTTATCATGCCAAGATGCAGGATTCTGTATAAAAATGGGTACCGTGTAAGTGTGACTATGCATGGCCATTTATTTCACCCTCAATAAAGTCAATTATTACGATTTTGTCTTGTGATAATACTAATAGTCACATGCCCTTTTCCATCTCAGAGAGTTAGTTAGGTTTTATTTCAACCCTGCAGAACTCAAAACCTCATATCTTCACACTAATACAGGTTTGAGAAAAGGTTGGTAGAAGCATTTGACACATCTCCAAATGTTGCTGTTTGTCAAAGCTGTTCCACAAGATTATTGACTTCTGGGTTGAAATTACTCAGGTCTATACTGCTGTATAAGTAGAAAAAGTCTCTCAATATACATTCAATTAGCCCTGCCCCAGTTGGAACATTTAAGGTCTTATGAAATGGAACAACTTAATAGTTCAGGACCAATGTTTCATTGGGTTTGGAGACAACACTTTTGTCTTACTTTACTGGTATACCCATATACTGTATGTATTTTTAATGTATGCCTTTACATCTATCCTTTACAATGTTATGACTAGCTATTGCACCATTTACTAAAGCTAATTCCTAGTTTGTGACTTATCATTGAAATAAAAGTAATACTGATTCTGATCTGCTTTAGGAGCAAAGCAGAGACTACTCTTCCCAGGGTCCATTAGTAATAAAGACACTGTGTATGAAACAAATTCTCCTTCTACTCATGTTCTAGTTTGAATAATGAACAATATTATAATAAGTAATTGCTGAAAAATTAATTGTAATAATTTAATAATTTGTTAGAAAATTATATGTAAAGACATTATTTGATCACGTTGGATGACTTGAAATGAATAAACACTCAACTCAAAAGTATAAGAATCAGTTCATTCATCACATTGACTCGTTTGTGTACGTCAGAGCTTTTTGACCACAAATATACATGTACTATTGGACTGTTGTTGGGTGAAAGGCTTTTTTTGGGGGGGAAAGCCCACCTCATAGGGTAGACAGTTGTGTTACATGATACCATTATTTATCTATTCTTATTTTAAAACTGAAAAGTGTGGCTTACACGTATTCAGTCCCAATGAGTTGATTTGCTATGAGTGCACCTTTTCCAATTATTCCTTTTCCTTTACTTACAATAAACTTTGCACTTGTAGAAACGTTTTGCCAATTGTTCTATGCACAAATGCTTTACATTAAGTGGAGTTGTTGTCAACAGCAGATTTAGATATCATCACATGCAGATTCTAAAATGGATTTTCCTGGGCTATTGTAATTCCTGAATATTCGGTTGTAAACAATCTTTGTAAGAAAAAACTTTGTGTTTAAGAAGTTGTGCTGATCTGTTGGTTGATGAACCTCAAATCTGTCACAAACTACAGCAATTTTTCTTCCAAAAATGCTCTTCATTTTGCTTCGACCACCTTCCCATCAACTCTAACACTCACTGATCAATGCGGCCCTTTTTTGAGTTTTGAGTTTGGTCAGGCGGCCATGTCTTGGTAGATTAACAGTGTGGATTAAACTGTGCTCTGTGAGATTCTACAGGTTGAGTAATCTGTGTATGACCTAACCCTGCTTTAAACTTTTTCTCAAACTTACAAATTGACAACTGCTGTTGTGAAATGGGGGTATACAAATACAAAAAATGTCAAATGAATTGGTGGTGTTTTAAAAAAAACAGTTATTAAATGTAACTAAAAATATTGTCTTTCTTCAGAAACTGCTGTTTTTAAATCCAATGACCTTATGTGGTATTCACTGAAACTGAAATCCCTCAAAACTGTTTTCCTGATTTGAATTCCAGAAAATTTAACTTAAAGTAAACCTAATTTAATCCCAAATAAAACAGTTGTTTTATGATTAGAATTAGTGTTAGTAAAATATTGTGTCCATACATTTTCAAAAGGTATTGCATATTTATGACTCCCCGCCCTACAGTATTTCAGGGTGTTCCCCGCTGCTGTCTAATGTGACTCTGCAAAGTGCCTTTAGGACCCAGACAGACACAGGGGGAGTGGCATTATATTTTATCTGGCCACAAAACCTGTTAGCTTACTCTTACTTCCTCTCAAACAGTCTATGCATTCTTTCACACGAGTGTCTTGAAGTCAGTGCAGCAACAACAAGGATCTATATGCTGCAGAAAATCTTGACTGATATACAATTTTTTTTTACAATTTCCGGAATCTAATCCATGACCAAGCTGGGCTATTTGCTTGTCATGCCTAATAAAAGTACTAAATGACATTTTGATTAGCAAGCCAGCATGGAGCAGGCTTGGATACTGAGGACTTTGTTGGAGGAGTTAGGTACAGAGGAGGCGGAGGACCAGGAAGCACCTGATGGCATCGCTGCACAGTTTGCCGTGAGTTATTTTCTATTCAAGTTCTTTAAAAAGTTCCAATGATACATAGAACTACTGCAAAAAGTGTGTGTGTGAGTGTGTGTGTGTGTGTGTGTGTGTGTGTGTGTGTGTGTGTGTGTGTGTGTGTGTGTGTGTGTGTGTGTGTGTGTGTGTGTGTGTGTGTGTGTGTGTGTGTGTGTGTGTGTGTGTGTGTGTGTGTGTGTGTGTGTGTGTGTGTGTGTGTGTGTGTGTGTGTGTATGAGAGAGAACTAACATTGGGGAAGTAAGTTTTTGCTCTGGCAACATCTGTTCTTCCTCTTTACATTTTCAGCACAAAAAAGGCATCTGAACTAGAACAGTTATTAGCATATTGTGACGACCAGACTGATGTTGAAAGTGGCAAACTGCAATGCCACTCACTGGTGAAAATGGGCCTTAAAATTAGAACCATGGTGGTGATATGTACAGTATGCCTAATCAAACTTTGTTGAATGGGACCATGCCATTGTACTATATTAGTAAATTCATTTGTTAGTCTATCTGAAGGGACCTCCTGATATTGATGTAATAATAATATGACTATATATTAGATATGTTCCCAAGACCCAGTAAGGCAGACTCAAAACATTATGTGTAGAGTCTGATTTGTTCAAAATAAATATTGGATATTATTTATTTCATGGAATCAGGGAATTAACCCAGTGACATGGCATCTCCAGGAATTTATAGTGTTGTGTTTGTGTTGTGCACTAGTTTCAATTCCAAGCCATGTCCATCATGAGATAAAAGATAAAACCTTTTAGTCTAGTCATTAATCTCTTAATGCTAAAAAGGGTGATATGAGGGCTAGGAACTCTAAACAACAACTCTAAATCAGTCACTAGTATCAACCTGTCTTGACTTTATCTATTGAATATTGTCATGGTGGAAAGTGACCTTCAGGGGCCTCCATCTCAACCACTCCGGAGGAACGTATCTGTGACATCACTTCCTGTCTAAAAAAAACATGGTCGATTCACTGAGAGATGCATTTATGTTCTTAACAATGTGTCCAAGTGCTGCTGTACATGTGCTCATGCTGTTCAGGTCAGTGATGAGATATAAAACATTACAACACTCATCCAGAAGCAACTTGGGCCAAACAATGACCAAACGGCAAAAGTCTGTCAAGATTTAATTGCTGAGAGTGCCCTGTGTCAAGTTTTGATATGAAAAAAACTGTTTTTTGTGTTTCAGAAGCTGAGAAGTCAATCCATAAAGTATCGCACTGACAAAAGATATTCCACCAAAGCAGCAGAGAAATCGGACAACTTCAAGAAAAACCGATACAAAGACATTCTACCTTGTGAGACACATTTCCATGTTTTTTCAGAGACTTTTTATAGTGAGGGGAGACTTTTGTTTAGGATGTAGCATGAGATTGGGTCCATAAAAAACTACTGTATGTACATAATAGTGTGGGAAAACTATATATTTTCATCATATATGCACAATGCTGAGGTAATTTTATCACATGATCATGTCCCAGATCATGTCCTAGTCCATAACTTTTCAGCTTACAATTAACATTGAATACAATGGGAAGTACAGTATGAAGCATGTCAGTATCTCCAGATATGGCTTTCATTCAGAAACAAACTTCACCAAAGCAAGCCTTGAAATTTCTGTGAAAAGAAAGCAACACACTATATCTAGTCTTTGGGCAAAAAGTCTTCCAGGTCAATTACTTTTAAAATTGTGAAGATGGAGAGACGTTTTTCCAGAGGCAAGCTCCAGTTAGACCCGCCCCCACAGCATCCTGATTGGACGCAATAAATTAAAATTCTTTACAGACAGCCGAGGCCTCTTGCATTCAGTCTAACACTTTAACCAGCAAACCTTACTGGTGATGCTTATTTCAAGGCCTGCATGGATCTTTTTTATTAATTTGTGTATCATCATTTACAGTTGACCACAGCCGAGTGAAGCTAACATTCACCACATCCAAAAATGACACTGATTACATCAATGCAAGCTTCATCAAGGTTTGTTACTTGAATAGAATAATGTAAAACAGCAAATAACACTGGTAAATCTCACCTGGTTTGAGTGCTTGTTCTGCAGGGAGTGAGTGGCTCCAGGGCGTACATAGCCACACAGGGCCCACTGCCACACACAACACTGGACTTTCTACGCATGCTGTGGGAATATGACATCAAGGTTTGGAGACATTTATATAAACAAGGCAATGGTGAGGCTGCTAAACGCATCAATGTGGTGCTGATTTTTGAAGTGTGTTTTTGTATTGGCCATTTATGCTCCCATTTTTTCTGAAAATATGCAAAAGTTCGAGGTGTATTGGTACTTTCATGAGGTACATTTTTTGGTTTAAAACCATAAACAAAAACATTTATTTTTTTACCGGATGCTCACACACAACTCTGAATTGAAAGCAAAATTATGCGTGATTCTGTTATTCTTCAAAAATATAAAACTTTTAATAGGGCAAGTATAAGTATTCATACAGAATGAGTAAATACTATGCTTCAGCAGCTTTTCTTCTAATATTTCCCATCAACTCAAAACGCGCTGCCCCTTATTTGACTCTGGGGATGGAGCACCGTGGTAGTTGAGCAGTGTTTCTTTATACATAACACTTTGCATTTGAACCAAACATTGACCCTCGGCCTAATGTGTTTGGTCTCATGGGCCCCGCATTGCTTCGTGTGGCTTTATTTCGACACTGACGTTCTATTAACCACTCGTCCATAAAGGATTTGTGTATCGTATGACTGATATTTGCCTCATGTATAGATGTAGATGTCTACAGCTCCTCCAGAGTGATTGTAGGCCTCGTGTCTGCATCTGTGATCAGTGTTGTCCTTGTCCTTGAGCTGTGTGTTTGGGCAGACAGCAGAGTCTTGGTAGATTTACAGGATATGCCCTTTTCATTTCGGAATAATGGATTAAACACTACTCTGTGTGATGTTCTCTCTGGTGTTCTCTTTGGCCTTCATGATCCCATTTAGGGACCAATACACTCCAACCAGATCTTTAAGGCCCACACAGAACAGCTGTGATTATATAGATTGTAGACCACACACAGGTGGGCCCTATTTAACTGTTGGGGAAAGGTATGAACATTCAGCACTCAATATGAACGTTTTAAAGGCAATTTAATGCACTCAGGAACTATGCTATAAGAAGGCTTGTGCAATCCTCACTCTTCTCTTTTGTATTTTTGAAATAGCTTTAACTTCACAGTTGTCTGTTACATGTATGTGCTTGGTTGTAAACATGACAAAATGTGAAAAAGCCAAAGGTGTAGTATTTTTGAGAGGCACCGTATGCTTGATAGCTCGATTGTGGCATAACAAGATGAATCGGAAGCATGAATACTGCACAGGTGTGCTTATAGGCTCTTCTGGTATTATTTATGTACTTCAGTTTAAATATTACTAAAAGGCCTGAGATCACTACCACTCAGTAGTAGTAGTAGTAGTAATATAATTTCTGTTTTTTGTCCTTGTGCAGGTTGTGGTGATGGCGTGCAGAGAGTTTGAGATGGGAAAGGTAATACGTCTGTGGACTGTGGGTGATTCAAACCCACAGCACACTTCTTTAAATGCTGTGGTTCCTGTGTCCTTTTTTTCATAACTGTGACACACTTTCTTTGTAACAGAAAAAGTGTGAGTGTTACTGGCCAAAAGAACAAGACGAGCCGTATACCTGCGAACCCTTTACCATTTACTGTGTGAGTAATACTTAAGAAAAGGCCTGATGCTGACGACCACAACACAAAAACAACATAATAATAAAAATAGATATTCTGCATGCACATTATCAGGACATGTATTTACATTTTGTCTATTCTTTCTGATCTCTGGGTTCATAACAGTGAAATGTTATGTTCTACTAGTTTGCAAATTAACCTGCATGTTTTGTTTTAGGACTCAGAGGAAAATAAAGGCGATTATGTGACAAGGATGTTGAGAGTGAATTATCGCAATGTAAGTGCTTTTTCAATAGTAAACCCTGCAGTCAGAGCTCAGGGAGGATAATATCTGAATAGCACTTCTTATCTGAAGACAGATCAAGCTGACGTCTGTCGTTTTCATGGCTTGTCATGTGAAATAACTAACTTGCAAAGAGTAATTGACCTTCCAAATGCAAATACAATACCTACCAATTCCAGTTTTTACATGTTTTTGTAGTTTGTGGTCTAGTTAAAGTCCTACAATAATTTCACCTATACGACAAAACCATTCTTTTTTGACTATAAATGGGAAAAAAATTGGTTGAAAAAAAAAGTTGTTGTTATCATTTGTATCTGTTCAATCATGAAGTATGTCTCTTTGTGGCATACTTTTTCTTATGGATAATTAGACATTTACAATTACCTGAATAATGTCCTTATTTGTATTTTGTAACACCCACCGGCGCGCCGGCGCGCTGTTTTTATGTTTTTAAATGTTCTGCTGGCAATAGCAGATGTATTTTGAACACCAAACCCCAAAAGCTGTATATCATTTTAAAGCTTATTTTCCTATCTGCATTTATATACAAGTGTAAACTACATCAGACTTTGCATTCAAAAGATATAACACATAATGTGGGCACAAAAGAAATCAATTCCGAAATAGTTTTTTACATTTGGGCTTGTGCTGTACAAATAAATCAGCTCTCCTCCCAGCTTGCAATACATCCTTCTCTCTGGAACAGTCCAAAGGAAAATTATATCCACTTGTATTTCCCAAAGTAAAATCCATTCTGCAGAAATAATCCAAAAATGTGCATTTATGTTTAGCGAAAAAAACGAAAAAAAAAGAGCACAGATGTTGCTCTTTTACTTTTGACGGACTTTTAGCTTTGTTTTTCACCCAAACATCTGGCATCCACGTGTTCCTTAGCTCCTTATCTTTCAAATGAGACTACTCCCGAAAAGACCCATTTTTGGGTCTGCAAGAGCTCCCGTGAGTACAGCTAGTGCTGCTGTTTGCGCATGGATCACTGATCTTTGTTGTTGTCCCTACTTGTTTGCATCTATTTCCTGGATTTCTGATTGACATGTCCGTGTAGCCAATGAGGAAAGCTTTCGAATAAGGGGTGGGACAATGGTGTTGAATCTTATTTTGAGCTTGTAGAATCGTGCGTAATGGCAGCCAAAAGACGCTCTCGAAGCTGCAATGAATTTACACTCATAAAAAAATTACTTTGACTTATAAGTACCAATAATAAAAAATATTGTTTTTATGATGCTTAAATGTCAGTAAAGATATTATATATAAATATATATGTGCACTACTTGATGAAAAGGAGAAACTGCATAAAAACTATAAAACTTAGAAGTCTGAAACTTTAGACAGTTGTTGTCAACTACATAATGACCACAGGGTTTGAATATTGTGTGCCTTTTTTAGGGCCTTTAGAAATTAAAAATGTTAGGCGAGGGTTTTTTCCCAAACTTCAAAGGATGCAGAGGGAAATAGGAATGACAAACATTATTTTAGTGTTTTTTTACATAAACTAGAAGGCTCTAGCTTTAAAATGATGCATCACACAAGCATGTGAGATGTAAGATGTGTTTTTAAATAAGCAAAGACATTTGGGTATGCCCAACTTTTGTGCACAAGCCAAAATGAGGCGGGTGTTAAGAGGTGAAGAAGTCATAAGTCTTGTACACCCATCCTATAGAAAAAAATTACCATAAAATTAAGGAATTGATTAGTTAATTCCTGTTTACAAAATGATAAAAATTTGTTTTGAAATGTGAATCACCATTTCTGTGAAAGCCATGGATACCGTTTGGTTCTCTCAGTGCAGCCGGAGCCTGGTGCAGCTGCATTATGTGAACTGGCCGGACCATGGCGTCCCGGACTCCATCCCCCCCATCCTCGACATGCTGCAAGAGATGCGCTTGTACCAAGACCATGACAACACCCCCCTATGTATACACTGCAGGTTAGATCCTTTTTATAAGCTGAAATGTGGACTGGTTTAAGGTTAATGGAATACATGTTAATTAGTTAGATCTGGAATGACTCAGGCAAAAAGACGTTCATGGGTTATAGTATAATATATGGCAGTAAATGGTATTTATTTACGTGTTGGTACTTGTTGGGAACCGCGAAGACGCTCTCAAAGTGAAATTCTCTTGTCTAAATCCTGGTGGTGTTGGGAGCTGAGAAGTAAATAACATTAAGAGTGATTTCCCACTGTTGAGGAGGCGGTTTGCTGTACAAGCTGAAGGTGCAGAGTTGTGATGCACTGTTTGCATGTAGCCGGTGAAGGTGATTGCTGATTAGTACAGGACAGACCTGGGAAGTGGGAAGATTCAGGTGAAGCTTTAGCTCAGATGTTAGCCATTTTTATCCAGGTGCACTAGTTTTCTCATTGAGTCGGTTGTTTTTTTTTTTCTTAGAAATATATGACAACTAAAAAGAAAATATTGCATTTTTTTGGCATTAGAGATAAATGGAAAATTGTAAATGTGTATGTAGTAAGATATGTGGCACACTATGCTCATTGATACAATCAGATGGCACACCACCAGCTGAAGCTGAAACCAGGAAAACTGCAGCCTTTATGAACAATACAAAGTCTTTCTCATCAAAGTGTTTTAAATAGAAAAACAAGCGTAAAAAAGTCTTTCTAATCTTCTCACATTATTTTTTTGACTATTATTTTGATTCTTTAGCACACTAATGTGAGAAACACTGATATATAGTAAACAGCCTGGCCCACATTACTCTGCTATTAGATAACCTCAATGTCTTCTCACAAGTTTTGAGAATTGTGTATGTAGTGTTGTTCAAAATATCTATGTTGCCAGTCTTGTAATGGCTGGAAATTCTGCTGTCCTTATTTCGAGATCAGAAAGCCACACGCACTGAAGCAGGAAGTGTAGGCGTTTTCTGAACAGCCCCTCTGTACCTCTGGGCAACTTTAGAGCCTCTAGCTTTAATATCAGCCTGTTGTGATAATGTTTTACAGGCTTCACACGAGCAACAACGTCTCTTATGATGAATGATTTACATAAAACTACACAGTGTATACCTTTAAGCATGAATGTACACAATACATTTGAAAAAGGGACAAGTCATTTTTTTACCCTCAAGAATTTGGGATCATGTAGATAAACTACTAAAGTATGATTGAGCAATATTCTGAATTAAAGTAATTTAAATGTATCTGCTGCTTGTAGTGTGGGAGAAATCTGTTATCTCCAAGTTTAAAGCCATTCTGAGGAAAAAGGTTTGGATAATGTAGTGTGAATATGTGTGCAGTGCTGGCTGTGGTCGAACTGGAGTCCTGTGCGTCATCGATTATACATGGAACCTCTTAAAGAAACAGGTGAGGGGCAGGGGGTACACTTTTACCAAACAGGACTGTTATACAACTATATATTACTTGCACTAGAATATACAGTGTTGTGTATACTGTAGCTCCTTATTGAGCTTAAGTCAGGGATTTTTGTACTTAAGTCTTGCTTCTTCATAATGCTCAAGTTGGAGATTTCTGACTTCTTTCCTTACTATTCTAAAGATAGAGATTTGATACTGCTTCTTTTTACACTAGAAATAGAGATTTTATTTTGTTTTATTTTAGAGCTATTATTCATTCATCCTATAATGTGTGGTCCTCATTCCTACATTTCTGCAACACTGAGAATTCCCCACAGTGGGACAAACAAAGGATCTCTTAATCTTAATCTTAAATACAATATGTACTTTCTCTTCTGTGTTTAGATGATCACCTCAGATTTTAATATTTATGACCTGGTGCAAAACATGAGAACCCAGAGGCCGTCCGTGGTCCAGACTAAGGTAAAACAAATGTTTTGTTCTTATTTTATGACTGTGTAGTTTTGTTCATTCCTATATGGAAGGCTCTCCTCTCCATAGATCTGATTGGTAACTTAGCCTTGTGGAGTCTCTTGCCACTTGTAGCCTTGTGGAGTTTCATGCCATAGACAGGTGAAACTCAGAAAATTAGAGTAATTTTCAAAAGTTAATTTATTTCTGTAATTCAACTTACAATATGATACAGACTCATTACATGCAACGTGACATAAGCCAAGTCTTTGTCCATTGTAATATTGTAGTTATCGTCACAGTCCATTTTCAAACTATTCTAATTTTGTAAGGTATTTTATTTGGGGTTTTTACAAGCTCTGAGCAAATAGTTTCACATTATAAGTTGAATTACAGAAGTAAATTGACTTCGAACTATACTGTAACTTTCCGAATGTCCCCCGTGATGTAGAGAGAACAGACACAGACTTAATATTAAAATTGGTTCCCTCACTTCTGTCATGTGCCATTTGATAATTTGGTAATACCATTGTAGTCTACACTTCTCAGAGTATCATCCTTCATGTAGTTCCGTTGTGTTACGTTACCATCTTACAGAACCAGTTCTTGTCTGTAACTCTATAGGAACAGTACGAGCTGGTGTACAGAACCATCAGGCTCCTGTTCCAGAGATTTTTGGATTCAGAGGATTCACGGGAGCCGGGCAGCGAGGTGAGCAGTTTGAAAGTCACTTTTCAGAGTTTTAACATTCTTTTTGAGTTTGATTTTTGATTAGTATTAGATAGAGATGCTAGTATTCTGATGTGATCATTTTTAAAGATGTGACCATGTCTTACTTTTTCAGGTGGACACAGACGAGGCAGTCCTGGCAGAACTAGGAAGCAAGGGTTATGACATGAATCAACACGACATGGACACAGAGCTACAAAACCTACTTCTGACCTCAGACCATTCACCAGAAACTGTTCATAGAAACACAACGAAGACCAACCACTTGTGGCAGTACCCTGTGGACCTGCAGGTATGTATAATAATTCAAGCTACATGATTATTATTTATTTTTTATACAGGTGAAACTCTGAAAATTCTTATTATGTCTTAGTATGCCTTACCAATATTGTATATGGCAGACTCACGACACGCAAAGTGAGTGACATCAAGACTTTATATGCTATAATGTAGATATTTGGCTCACAGCTATTAAAAACCCCAAACATCTAAAAAAGGAAATTAGCACATTTTAATTACATTTAAATTATGTTTACATTACATTATGTAAAAATCTGGCCAAAAGTGGTACTGCAGTCCCAGTCAATATTTTGTAGTCCTCTCCCACTCTCCCTGACTCAGGTTGCCAGATACACACCAAATCCAGAAGCAAACACAAGGAATTATTTTATCAGTTGTTGTCTGTCTCCATTCACATTGCCATGAGCCGTGCAAATGTTGAATTAATGTCTTTTTTATTTTTTTTATTTGGACATTTGAGATGAGAAAATAAAAATAAAAGCAATGTAATTATACATTCATTATGCAAAATTAATAAGCAATTGATGTCCAAAATAGGAGTGGGAAGAATGGATGTTGGAACATATTTCTTCAGCGTATCAACATCAGGGTTTCCTCCAGAGGATATCACCCTTCGATTTTTTTTATTCCCTATATTTTATACTTATACATGTATAAGTCCCACATCAAAAAGAGATGGGGTACATGTGATCTCAAATTATTCTTATTATAATTAAGCTTTAATCTGCAAATAACGGCTTGTTTTTACCATCTACCGATTTAGAACAATCCATCATATAATAAATCATACATTGTTTAATCCAAAACATATCTCGCCTGAATTCGAACCCCATCTGCTGGGGCGCCAGTGCAATGACTTAACCATTAGGCCACTTTTACATATAAAGGATTGTAGATTCCAGGCAGGACCTTGAACTATCAATGAACTGTCAAACGCAGCCAACGCAGCAAGTTCTGCATCACGGAAAGTTTGTATCTGCCTTCAATTGTCTCAAGTTTTCAAAGGCGTCCCCATATATAAATCCTCGTTTTAGTCTTTGTTTTGTCATTAATGATTTGAGAATCATAACAAGACCTTTTTTAGTTCTGCGGCCACATGTTATCTTAACTAGCCGCGGGGAGTTGTGGCAACCCGGACCTCAGACTTCCTCATGTAATGAAAACAATAACAAAAAAACAACAACTTTTACGGGTTGTAAAACTAATTTTGATATTCAAATATCTCGGCTGAACTACAGTTATCAGTTAGAGATGTATTCGAAAAGAGCCTGATTTATTAATGCCTTTTGAAAGATGGGGCCATTTAATGATGACTTGACATGTAAATGTAACATATTGCTACTTTAAACATTTAACATTCTAATATTCAGAGTTTCTTGTAAAATGTCAAAAATTATTTCAGAAATGCCTTTTTTTTATGACATGAAAGAACAAACTTGAGAAGTTTTATTTTGTTATGGAGCAATAGTGGAAGTTCATACTGGAAGACTTCTTCTCAAAGGCCACTCCTTCCCATACCAGTCCCCAGTTCAAGAAAACCCTTAAGTTGTTTCTGAAAGAATTTAAGATAAACACAAAAAAGTGGATAGAAGACTTAAAAAATCAATAATAAAAATAGATAAATAAAAAAATGAAAATATAAAGTGTGCAGGAGATCTCCTTTTCAAACTTTGTAGAACGGTTTATTTTGTAGATCTTTTTAATCTGTTTTTTACATCCATCCATCCATCTTCTACCCTTTAATCCATTTCTGGGTCAGGGGGGTGGCAGTCAGAGATGCCACCCAAGTCTCATAGCACCAGCCCCTCACTGACCCTCTGCAGGTGGTGAGTCCACAGGAGGACGGCTGCTCTAAGTGTGAGCATAGCCTTGATCTTTCAGTGGGGGCTTTGGGCAAAGTGGGGTTAAGTGTCTTGCCCAAGGACACAACAACAGCAGTCATCAGTGGGAGTCGGTGGAGAAGGTGTCGAGGCTGTTTTTTACAATCATGTTTTAATATATTCCGTGTTATGCGTGTGGAAGGGTTTGTAGTAAATACATTTAAAAAACACGAAGGGGTATCAAAGAATTGCAAACAAAATAATTACAGTATATAGATTGTTTGACATTTCTACAACTAAATGAAGCCTTGAAGCTCAATTATACAAATTAAATGCAGATTTTGTTTCACACGCCTTGATTCAGGTGACATCTTTTTTCACTGAAATCCCAAAGAGCACTTCTCCACAAGAGCTGAACCCACACACACCAGAGGAGAGGACAGAGGAGGACAGTGAGGCCATAGTCCACCTGCTGTCATCGCCTGCTGCTGTGGTGTCTATGGTGGAGGATCCATATTTTGATGATCCCGCAGAAGAAGCCTCTCCGACCCTGGGCTCAGCCTCTGGGACCCCCTCGATTAGTCTCAATGACCAGCCTCTACAAGTCTTCAGCTTCACGGACTCCGGTAACAATGTTGTTCCTTAACAGGATCTTGCTATAACATTAAAGGCAGTGCATCTGGTCTGTCTAGCATATAAGTTTCACATTGTAAGTTCAATAACAGAAATATCATCCCACATTTTCTGATTCCCACCTGTGTTTATTCTATATGAAGCATTATCATTAGATCAGGCATGTGCAAAATAAATGTGGCCCTGTGCCTCTTTTCCAAAGTAGCCATTAAAGCACTTTACGGGGCGCGGCGGCTGAGTGGATGGTTTTCTCGCTTCTGAGCAAGAATATATAGGTTCAAATCCTGGTTGGAACAGGGCCCTTTCGAGTGGAGTTTGTGTTTTTTCCCCGTGTCTGCCTAGGTTTTCTTCGGGTGTTCCGGTTTCCCCTACCACTAAAAACATGTACAATAGGTCTGGCGCTTTGTGACTGGTCTGTGAATCCATCCATCCACCCATTTTCTTCCGCTTCCGTTGCCGGGTTGCGCTATATATGGTCTGAAAGGCGCTATATGAATAAAAAACGTACTTACTTTTGGTTGGTGGACAGTGTCATCCAGCCAACTTCAGATCCTCCAATAGGGTCATGCTATACCTTGTTGTATAGCTCAGGCTCTTAGGAATCCAGTCATGAAGCTGTGATGTGAATAGACATGGGTACAGTACATTTGCAGTTTGGGGTTGTTGGACATGTTTGGTGAACTAAAGCAGATCTCCTTAAAAAAAAAAAAAAGTGAACACTCTTGATTTAGATATAATTGGTGGATTATTACATATTTTGTTAAACAGCCCCAATACTTACAGTACGTCTGTTATTCCTGTAGGAACATTAGACATCCACTCTGACGATGAGATCCCTCCTCCTCTTCCCGATAGAACTCCTGAATCTTTTGAAATTCCTAATAACACAGGTACAGCCAAATAAAGAATTGTCTTAACTGAGTGGAATTATTATATCTTACTTTTTTATTCTCATTATTATTTCTATCTTACTTTTGTATTTGTTTTCTCAGAGCCAGGCATGAGATTAGCTGTTGTCATTCCTCCAAACGCTGCGGCTGCTGCTATCAGGGAGTTGAGAGGTGAGCGGGCGGGGAATAGTCACTGTTTTTACATTTGTCAATTATTCACATGAGTATATATGTATCGCCTGTGGTAGGTGGGGAAGGCGTGTGTGTTTGTGTGTGTATGTATGTGTGTGTGTGTGTGTGCGTGTAGGCAAATGGGTGTCTATGTTGATACAGTATATGTGTGTGTGTACGTATGCTTTTTTTTCTTTAGTTTATTATTTTTAGTATTGTTAACATTATTATTCAATCTTTTTAATATTCTTATACACACTATATATTTTTTTATGTGTTTTTTATTTATTTATATATTTTGTTCTTTTTGTCTGTAATCTTTTCCTTTGCATTATAATTGTTGCCTTGTTATGTTTTGGAATTAAGGCGTTTTGACCAATCAAATTCTAAAGGCAAAAACTACAAAAAATACAGTATGAAAAATTATAAAATGACGTGTATTCTGCAAAATAACTGAATATTCATGTCTCAAATTTTGCATACTGTGAGTTCCGTAGGCCTACTTTGTAAATATGGGTCCATCTTTGATCATTGCGGTAAAAGCAGTTGAATTTCACATATTTTCACATGCAACTCTTTTTGGCCTCGGTCACAGATTTAGATCAGACTTTTTACGACAGTGAAAGTGAAAACGAGAGGAGCACCCTTCGCAGCCCGAAGCATGAGATAGTCAAGGTCAAGTTAATTTTAATAACAAGCATGAGGGCCACAAAGGGCTTTCCAGTCATCACAAAAATAGATGGACACAAATAAAATACAGTGTAAAATAAAATACTGGTCGGCTATTGTAAGAGTTTCTTTTTTAGCTCGAGTTAAAGGTCAGAGCAAAGAAATGTGTCTTTAGCTGTGATTTAAAGCTCTCAACAGAGGGGGCATATAAAACAAATGATAAACAATAAATAGAATGTGTAAAAAATAAGGATAAATAGTGACTCACAGCACTCTATAATGCAAAAGGCTTTATGTAAGATGAAGTGTTCCGCGCTTTACCTCCATTTTATGAACTATAATAAATGTATTAAAAGTGCATACTTGTGTTTCAGGTAGTCCCACATCTCCGACTCCTCCTCTTCCAGACAGAACTCCAGAATCGTTTGAATTAGCAACAGATCTCGGTAAACTATTATTTTCTACCATTGACCATTGAATTTGTTTTCCATATTAATACACTGTAAAATGTAAATGTCACAAATTAGCTCCAGCAGAAGAGAAGGAGGCGACACCTGCTGTGAACCTGAAACCCCTGGGTCTCTCGTCAGAGTGGTCCGGCAGCTCTGGGGCAGATCATCATAAAACAGAATCTTTTGTGAGGGATAAAGTAAGACAGTGTGTTGTATGTTCACTGGCCAAAAGTTATTTTGAGAGGCTAACATTTTCTTTGGTTGCAGAGTCTACGAGCAAATATGACTGTTTCAGGTAAGAGGAAAGAACAGGGTTGGTGGAGGACTAGGCAAAAACAAAAAAAAAATTATTCTTGTAAAGCCCTAAATCACAACAATAGTCATTTCAGAGGACTTAACAAAACCATTGATATCACCAACACAGATCAGAGAATCAACTGTTGGTCCATAGGGAGAGAATGTTGAAAAATGTCCATACATGTTGTAGAATGTTAAAGTGTCCTGGATCATCACCACAGTCCTTCTAGTTGGACACTAACTATCCGACAGACCCTCCTGCATCATATAGGCAAAGTCAACTATGGAGTTTTGCTTTTAAATATGCAAAATATAATTTCGGGAGCTAGAGAGTAAAGAGTTTGCTAATTTAGATGGTGTGGAAGAAAATAGAGTTATGTGCAAGTTAGTTAGCAATGTCACTATAGCAGGAATACTGTATATCGGGAGTGGACTGACTGAGTTCTGAAGTCACCCATAGTGTTTGCAATATTGTTGCTGTGGCAAGCTGGAGATTCTGAAGGCTTCTGATCCTTATGCTCAGGTTGCATCGTAGCCTTAATAAATGAAGAACAACTCAAGTGTAGTCTGCATCTTTTACTATGACCTTCTTTGCGGTACAACACACAAATCGGCGTTTACTTTTCAATGTAAGTCGTCCATAAGCACTTCTCTATTGGGCTTCATTGAGTCACGCACGTATGAGAAGAGAAGGCAAACATTGAGTCATTGAGTTAAGAGACATTTTTAGCTACTCTACTTAGCTTCTCACAGAATAACATGGTTAATTGTGACGCTTTTTGGTGCCTTTTCATACTTATTTTTACACATCTGCTCCATGTACTGCCGTTTGTCTGTTAGCATCATGTCAACAGTAGACTGTGCAATTGCTACTATTTATTTTATAATACGCAGAAGAATGTGCTAAATGTATATATTGTTTCAGCTAGTCCCCCATCACCGGTCCCTCCCCTTCCAGACAGAACTCCAGAGTCTTTTGAGTTTGTCACAGATCCTGGTAAACCCTATTTTCTACCTTTTAGATATTTGAAAACACTTTCCTGGTATGTTCAAATTAATATCAATGTAATAGCTCCAGAAGAGGAGAGGGTGAAGCAGACACCTCCTGTGAACTTGGATCTCCTGGGGGTCTCGTCAGAGTGGTCCGGGAGCTCTGGGGCCGATCCAGAAACTAAGACTTTTGTGAGGAGTAAGGTAAGGCTTTGTGAAGGTCTTCCATGAGAGGCTACAATGTAATTTTTTTTTTTTTTTCATTACAGAGTCTAAGAGCCAAAATGACTTTTTCAGGTAAGATACCGGGTGGGGAAGCAGAACTGAAAAGATACTGTCTTTTGTCCAAAGTCTAAAATCACACTGCAAAAACGAGAACAAAAAAAATAAAGTTTAACATTTCTTAGATAAAGTGGTTTTTATCTTAATTTGATTACAATCTGACTTATATCTGTTTTAAACTACATAATTTTGCTTGTCCCTTTGGCAAATCCTGGCAGTCAAAATGTTCTCGAATTAAGATACATTTTGCCAAAATTGGGCAATTTTTTGCCTGTTTTTTTTTCATCACTTTTTGCAGTGCAGCCTCAAGTGAGCCAATTATAAAACATATTTTGTTAAAACAGGGAGAAGTACAAACATTAAGTAATTATTAGGGGGAAAAAATTACAATTGGCCTAAAAAATTCCATTGTGATGAAAACCTGTGTTCTTTCTTGCAGAATTCTCACCACCGAAGAAAAGCTCAAACACCAACTCAAAATTCTCCCGGACACAGCCCCTGGAGTTACCGCCACCTCCTCCTCCCCCAGGTATAAACACAAGTGATTAAAACATATTCAAATAAATACTGGTTCTCTGGTATTGTTGTTGTCTACAATTTAAATACACATAAAAAACTATACCCTATATAGTTTGGTCCTAAATACATTTTTGGCCTCCGTCACACTTTTTCAGACAGAAAATTGAAAACGAGAGAACCAATCAGCAATTACAGAGACAATTTCAGTTTTCTACTAAGATCAAGACCGCCTGTTCTGGTCCAATTTTTTACATGAAATAAAGTTGGGTACACTATAGCTTTAAATACTTACTTGCTACATTTGTTTTAGCATTACAACATTTCAATCTCAGTGAACCATTGGACAATAATGAAGTTGTTTATTTTACCCAGCACACCCACTTCCAGCTGGCCCCGTCTCTCACACAATACTGCCCCAGTGTACATAATGTAAAGGGGATTTCTGTTTTTTTTTTTTCAGTCCAGGAGCTGAAGAGCCATGGTCCACAGGCTGAACATATGGCACAGCCCACGCACAGGGTCGGCATGTCCTCAGAGTGGAATGGAGCCACGCAGACCAAGAAATTCCTCGATGCCGTCTGGAACCGAAGCAGGGTAACATCATAACAATGGGCACAGTGAAGGAGATTGGATGTTTTTGGAGAGATTGCATAAGTGCATTAAATTTCAAAGATGCATTATCATAGATGTTTTAGAGGTAAATGCATTTCACATTCAACATAAGGTTTGTAAGATATTGTATTATGAAAATGAACAGAAGAACTGGCGGGCCCCGATCCTGACCCAGTGACACCAGCAACATCAATAACATTCAATTCTGTGTATTTTTGTACTGCCTCAAATCACAACAGCAGTCGTCTCGCTGAATATACATGGATATAACTTATACCTGTGTTAAAGCTGAGGTACCCCAGACAATGGAATTTTATAGTGATATCCTCAGTGAAAAAGAGAAGGCCACCCTCATTCAGCTCTCGACCCAAAGCATTAAACAGCGACTTCAAGGGTTCTATCTTACAAGTATGCAAAAGACAACATGTTTTCCATTAAGATGAAGGCAGCATGATTTTTAGGTAAAATGTTGCTAAATCCGACCACGTGATTCTTTCTGTTGGAACAAAGAAAATGTATCAGTTAAGAAATGTAAAAGTTTAGTTGTGTGAAATTTGGATCCCGGTAATCTAAACGATAGATGAACCGCTCATTTCACATGCCTTTGTCTACGGTTTTTGTGTTTAATTGTGTTAAATTGTGTATTAACTGCGTGTTGTGTGTCTGCAGAGTGTTCGAGTAAAAGGGTCTTCCAGAGGTGAGCTTCTAGTATTGTATTTTGCAATAGTATGAAGACCAAGCAACACAGCAGTATGTCAATAAAATGGCTCAGAATCATTATGAAGATTAATTACTTCAATCACTCTTTATTTGAGCTGAATTGACTCACGTAGAATTATTTTTGAAAACCGTCTTACTTTTAACAGGAAATCATATGTTGCTCAATTCGGGGGAGAAAAGAACTGTTTGCACAATGAACCAGAATGCGTAAATTGGGGATGTGCAAAAGTATTGTTTCTAGACCGTCTAATCAATTAGAAAGAAAGAAAGAAAAGGTTTTCATAATTTGTACTCACCAAGATGAATTGTTTTGTATAGATACTTAGTGTGTAAAATTTGTTTTATTTCTTTCTTCTAAATTGTGATGCATTCAATTTTTTCAGGTCACTTACCAAATAATTCCAGCATCTTTCAAATTAAGCATTGATCTAGATAGAATCTGGATCAATACTTCCCAAAGTGGGATCTGGGCCCCCGAGTCCACTGGAGGGCCCTCAATTAAATGAAACCTCCAGATATGTGGTTAAACTTAATTATTAACAAATACATTAACATTAATATATATTAGTTTGGTTATTTCAGTAAATAGTTCATTAGATAAACAGTATATTTTTGTCAGAGTAGAGTGGGGGGCCAAATGGGACTTATTTGATAAATGAGAGATGCCTTGATCGGCTGAAAAGATAGAATCTGTTTATTTACCCTTTAAATTATTGTTAGTTAAAAGCTTCATATAAAAAAATCAGGTCCATTTCTTGTTTATGATTCATTGTTTCTCTTTTATCGTATTTTTTTCTTTCAGAATCCCAGAGCATCCCTCGGCCTCAGACTGCTCCTCCTGCAGCCGAGGCCAGTCTGACCACCGCTCACACAAACCGTGAGTTCTTTGACCTACATTCTTATCTAAAGCCCTGGTTTGATCCTGACCTGCACTGTGAATGTGTGTCACTGGTTGACCTTTAATGATATGTTGTGTTCCTGGTGATGTGTGTGTTCAGCGGAAGAAGGACACAGTGTGAATGTAGCCACTGTTGGGGCAGAAGTGTCCGAGAAGGGCATAACCAGATCAAAGGTAAGAAATAGTTGAGAATCATGATGTATAAATGTATAAATGAGAAAATGCAGCCAGAATATAGCATTTTCTATTGGAGTGTTTTAATTGATTATTCCCATTATCATTGAGTGTGCGGTCTACTCTTCATCTGATTTTGTAGACGTTGTTGCAAACAAGATTTGAAGCTTTGTGGCAGAGAGATGATTGAGGCTGGGGCTGAGGGAGGGTGGTCCTTTCTTTTTCATTTTTTTGTCTGAAAAAGCTGGTGAGACAGAGGCAAAAATTACATGAACACCAGGGATAGAACCGGACAGTTTTGAGAGCAAGGAACGAGTTAAATGGGTTTTGCTAAACCGAAATGTGTTACATAGGATTTGACAAAAATAATGAAAATGAATGTGTAACCATTAACTGCCTTTTTTTATTTCCATCTAGAGTTTGAAGTTCTTTCGAAGCAAAAACAAAAGTCAGTATATTTTTAAAAGTCTCAAACCTTCTACTATTTATACCTACTATAAATACGATAAACTGGGACTAAACATGTGTCATCTTTTCCAGCTAAAGTGGAGACATCTCGCTCTCAGCCCTCCACCCCTCCTCCATCTTATGAATCGTTGGTTTCAAGATTCAAATTTGGTATGGTAAAAATATATCATTAAATACATAAATATTATAGTTAGTTAAACATTATAACTTATGCCACTTTTTATCTTTAGGATTTGGGAATCGCTTCGCAAAACCAAAAGGTCCCAGGAGTTATCCAGAGACATGGGTTTAAGTGTGTTTGACAAGTGTTTATGATTTTCTCATTTTGACTTGAACTTGGTGGAGTGACACCTGCTGTAAATATAAGTTATACTTTTGCACCAATCAAGCTGCAGTTTGTGAATAAAAGTTGAAAAAAGTACAGTAATATATGACAGCACACAAGGAAGACACAGAATTCATACAGAACTCAACATGGTCTTTTGGAGATTATTATTATTTTATTTTTTTGGAAAATCAACTGGGAATCCTACACATTTACCTACACATTCGTAAGTAGTCCAAACTTCTTTAAAAACAATTAAAAAGCGGATTACAAAGGGAACATACAAAGACAAGGGCTTAGTGTGGAAACATTTGTTTCGTTTTAAATGCCTTCAACTCTAGCATGACAAATATTTCTGCAAAACTGAGAGTTAGGGATACAGTTTACCGAGGGAATAATCCATGTTGTGCAGATGGCACGACATGGATGGCACGGCAGTTGGCTGTAAAAGAAGTTATGTCAAGTTGTCATTGAAGAAATCCCTCAGAGCTGAGGCACAGAACAAGGCACTGGACAGTACTTCAGGAGAAAACTGCCCTTCTGTCAACCCCTGGGAATACAGATGATACAGATGATAGGGAACACGGCTGGAGAATAATACTCATGAATATAGATTCAAAAATACAACAATAGTCATTGAAAATTCAAGGTGATTTATTAAAAAAAAAAAATTTTTTACAAAACAAAACAAAAATGCGTCAGTATAATCTGAGCTGAACCGGAAGTATTTGAACGATCAACAGAATTCTACCTCACTTCAGTCACACGTTTCTTATGAGTTAAATCAACAACAACAGCAGCGTTCAAAGCTAAACTCCCAAACTGAAACTAGGCTCCAAACGTTAGGTTTGTACTGATCCCACAGGGACAAACTTATCACAAACCGCACTCAGCAGTGTGTCACAAACACAAAACTACTAAAATACAACAACTCATTTTAAAATGGGACATTTATAAATAAAAATGCACTTGTAACATTTTAAGCCTTCAGTTAAAAGTGTAAAATTCATAAACATAACGCACAAGGCTTCACACAAAAAAACAAGGTCAAAATGAAGAAAATTTGATCACTTTTAATGTAATATGATTACTAATACCACTAATAATAATAATATAGCTTTATATATATTAAATTAAAATTTCCAAAAATAATTTAGTAAAGTTTTAATTCAAAGTTAACCCTTTTAGGTTGCAGAGTTTATCAGAAATATTATGTGAAAAGGAGGAGTCCTTAAACTTTAGAAGAGAAACCAGTGCTAAAAACAACTCCGTGAATAAATAAAAGAAACCTGTAGTGAAACATTTGTTGGAAGGGTCCTGAAGTCATGAGACACCTAAAAACAAATCTCTAAGCAACTTTTAAAAATATTGCCAATGTGTGTAGAGTGAAACTTAAAAAAAACCCTTAAACCACAAATGTGTGTCACAACACTTTTTTTCTGATAGCGTATATAAAAGTATAAAAAACATAATGATAAATTAATCGCTTTGCATAATAAAATAAATAAAAACGTCCACACAGTGTAAAACCCTTGTGCTTTCCTCGGGTCAAATTGACCTGCCACTTTGATTCAAAATACAACCTGACGAGCCCCGGGTCATTTAGACCCTGTGAGTTTCTTCTACTTTTAATCCCTGTGGCGGGTCATCTTGACCCGAGGGGAGCACAAGGGTTAAAGCCATGGATCCAGTCTGCTGCTCCTTTTGAAGAAACTTTTTTTTGCCAAACTCAACTGAAAAAAAAAAAAATATAACCTTCATTGTGCGCGGAAGTGAAATGGACTTAGGCTGAGGCTGGTGCGGGGGACAACACTGAGGCTGGTGTGAGGGGGAAGACGGAGGCTGAAGTGGGGGTTCCGGGCTGAGGCCGGTGTGGAGCAGTGGCGGATCTCTGAAACTCTGTGTCTTTAGTATTGACCACCGTGCCCTGCACAGTGCCCCCTTGTGGCCTATGGCAGGGAGTGACTGTAGGGATGGGGGCAACGCAGTGGTGCGTGGGCTGTTCTGTGGGCTGTGGGTCTTCGGGCTGGTACTGTTTGAGGCGAATGTGCCAGGCCAGGCTGCACACCGCGGACACCGTCTTGAACTGGTGGATGACGTTTCGGGGGATGAAGTAAACGTCCTGGTCACACAGCTGAGTGCGGACGTACCTGACGCCCTCCCGCCGTAAGTGGTTGAGCTTGGCGTCATCGATCCACTGGACGCACTGTGGCACCAGGATAGAGCACAGATATATATAGAGCATAGATATACAAATCAAATAGTGACATTGGCAGTGCAAAGTGCAGTCCTAGTGCAGGTGGAAGTGAATTACCTGTGACACCGGAGGCTCGTAGACATCCAGCTGCAGCCTGTGCACCACTTCAGTAAAGTCTCCAGCATCAAAACACACCACGTCCTTGGTTATTCGAGGCTGAGGGTTACTGTCAACAGAATGTCTTTGTGAATACAGGAATAAGTGCATGAACATGGCGACAGTACTGCAGTGTCTGACATTGATTACCATTATAACAATAATAATGGGATGGCGGAAAAAATGACAATGGTCAATCAGACCTATGGTGAATATGAGCCGGGATTTGTTGATAATCCTCAATGTACAACTGCTTGAAAAACAGCGCCTATGCACTTGCCTATTCTCTTCTTTTACCCAAACACTAACATGCCGTATTTGGCCCACACATGAGGTAAACTTACTTCTCTCCAAAGTGCACTGCCTTGAGCACGCCCACAGCCGCAGTGCTTTGCCAGTCAAAGCTCTGGCCCACGTGATCGGCATGAGCCCGAGTCCGGTCCTCAAAGAGCATCTCTCTGGGCTCACTCGTCCTGGGCAGGTAGTGCAAGTTCTTGATCTCATTCATGGACCTACAACAACATTATTAAACATATGTATATCAAACATGTGTATCACCAGAGAGAAAGTTGCTATCGAATATAACAGTTGCACCGGAATTACTCCTTTTGATATGTTGCTTTTGTAAATTTGTGAAAAACGACAATATTTAAACAACTCGATAAAAATATGAAAATACTTGAAATAAAGTAGAAGAAGTAAGTCATATTTTGTCATTTTGAACCCTCTACAGCAGGGGTCCCCAAATGGCGGACCGCAAGACCCTTTTCTCTCAACCTCTGACTTTTTTTTTTTCAAAAGTACATTATTACAAGTATGTAAAATGTTCACCATAAACAATTTGTAAACAGGCAGGCGCGAGGGCGGTTGTATGCGCAGCGGGATCCTTCGGAGAAAACTTTATGGAGCTGTCAAAACAACTTTGGCAGTGTCTAAATCTGAGTAAGCCCTAACCAGAAAACAAATACTGAAAAATAATGCATTGTTTGATACAGTAGATTAGAGTTTTGCAAACCCTCGCTGTTTGAGTTCGTTTGACTCCAATACAAACACAAACAGCTCTTGCAACTCACATTTCTCTCAGAGTAGAATGATCTAATGTGTCTATCTGTGGTTAGAGTCTCTGAATGTGAAATGAGCTCCGAAACTCATCGCACTCAATGCCATAATTAGTATGTGTGTTATTATTATATGTGTCCCCCCCACGTTTTAGATAAAAATAATGCACTGTAATTTTCGCTCATCGTACCTGCGGCGCTTGAAGGGAGACTTGGGCAGGTCCGCGGTGGGCACCATCTGCTCCCCGGGTCGCACCCACAGAATGGGCCCGTCGTCGCTCTGGGTCCTGCAGTCGATCTTCAGACTGGAGAGAGTCCCCCAGGGCAGCGTCATCTACACCACACATGGAGCTCATTAGAATGGAGTCATCACAGATCTGACAATATATAACACCAGAGAAAGGCATGGATGTGACGCAATCATGACCAAAGCCGCATGATTAGAACCCGTCTAATAGACCTGATGTTGTCAACAGTTTCAAAAATGACCGATGCTAAATACTAATTTGAGAAAGTATTGATAAAATTTTTTTTCCCGACGAGGTGGTCTAAAGCACTGTTGACATGTGATGCTCTAAAAATCTGGTATATCCAGTAAACATAATCAGATTTGGAGATCAACAGCCATGTCCAAATTCCTTTCTGTACCCCAGGGGGCGTACATTGGACGCACCACAATGGGCTCTATGCACGCACCACTTCTGCGTTTTAGCTTCCACTTCACTTCCTGTGCGCGGGGAACGGCTTGAGTTTCACTGGAGTTCAGCAGTGGTTTACACGAGTTTCCCAAATAATGCTCAAACGGGGATTAAACTGTGAGGATACTGGGCATTTTTGGGACACAACAGTGCTCTTTGATTGTGCCGTCATTGTGTTTTTGTAAAGTTTACAAATCTCTCTCTTTTGGATCAGTCTCACCGCTGAATGTATCAATCTAATTCCTAAAAACGTCACTAAAACCCACCTAAAAGCCAAAGCGATAGCATAGACAGGAAGTGAACGGGCTGATCTGCGTTAACAGGAAATGACGTCACACCTCCCTGTGCATATAGCCCATAGAGGCCGCAGAATTCACAGAACTTGAAAAAAGTAACGGCTTATAGTCCAGCAAGTACTGTACATACATTAATAAAAACACTATAATTTTAACTATGTGCTCAGCAGTTTGAGGTATAATCGAAATTTAAGTTGCATTATGAATTAAAAGCGACAGTAGCTCAGTTGGTAGAGCATTGGCCTTAAGCCCAGAAGGTCGTGGGTTCAATCCCCACCTCTGCACCTTCTCCACCGACTCCCACTGATGACTGCTGTCGTTGTGTCCTTGGGCAAGACACTTAACCCCACTTTGCCCAAAAGCTCCCACTGAAAGATCAAGGCTATGCTCACACTCAGAGAGCAGCCGTCCTCCTGTGGACTCACCACCTGCAGAGGGTCAGTGAGGGGCTGGTGCTATGAGACTTGGGTGGCATCTCTGACTGCCACCCCCCTGACCCAGAAATGGATTAAAGGGAAGAAAATGGATGGATGGATGGATGAATTAAAAGTACAATTATTTATGTAACAAATGGCAGCTTCAATTTCAGCCTAAACCCTGAAAATCTTTAAAATTGTCAATCTATTGATCTATGTCAAACTGTTCTTGCCTTTTTCTAAAATCAACACTGTGGTATTGGAATATTTTTCATCTGTATCAAAATAGTTTGTGATTTTAGTATCCCGTAGATAGATACAGAATATATTTATGGTCAATGAACGCATGTGTGTCAGAAAGGAGTTTTTTCAACATCAACAATAACATATTGCTGGAAGACATGGTATTTAAGGTTGTAATTTGATCTACTACATATATACTGTAAAACAATGATTGACCTTTAAAAATGGCGACTCCTCGAGCATGTTGAGGAACTCTGGGAAGAAGTCCCCAACCTCCTCGTCCACGGCTCCCACCAGACTGATCTGCCTCATGGGCCCGGCACGGAACGTCCCAGCGCAGTACGTACGGCTCACCTGCACCAGGACAGAAAGGACACTGACTTTTTCACTCTATATGATGCTGGGGGAACAGGAAAATAAAACATGAATAAGTATGACCCAATAAACCAGTGTAGCAGCGCTATCGCCTCACTCCGGCTGATCATCAAGCTCCAGCTATTCATTCAAGAACACGCCTTCAAATTCCATTATTTTAAACTATCAAACAGACAGCAAAATTACACACTTGTGCACCTGTTGTCGCGATCTGGAGATTAGCAAATAATCAGCTAAATCAGACATTTATGGGGACAGATGTGACGCAAAAAGCAAGAAAAGCAACATGCGTGCTGTGTGTACAGTTTTGCACAACAGAAGGACATGACATAATTGTTAATTTGCCAACAGCAGATTAGAAAATCCAACTATGAGGATAAAACGTAAACAAATGCCTATATAAATGTCTATAAAATGTCCTGTATGATCCCAGTTGTTGGAGCCTCGTACATCACATTCAAGGTATTTTTTTTTTTTTTTTTGGACTATTATTTAACCAGGAAAGTCCCATTGAGATTAAGAACCTCTTTTTCAAGGGAGTCCTGGAATATACCTATGTTTTGGTGAGATCACAGGTTCTTCACTGCATTGTTCCAGATAAATATAATCTCTCCCAACAAGACAAAAAAAAAAATCTGATTTCCGTACCTGAGAGTGAAAGTTGGCCATGGTGGTGGTCTCTATGTCTTTCTTCCCCAGAATCTCCATCTTGACCGGCGTGTTGGGAAAGTTGAAGGCAAAATAGTCCAAGAAGTCGGGCAGATAGGCGGCCGCCCCGTGGATCACCGACAGCGCGTACTTGGAGGCTCCTTTGGGACGCTCGGCGAAGGCCAGCTCCAGGTACTCGCGGGCAAACTCCTCCAGCTCCAGCGCGCTCAGACAGGCCAGCTCGTCTGCGTACGCGTGCAGCACACACCCGCCTCCGTTGGGCTGCCGCTCCTCGTGAAGGAAGCGGCCGAACCTGGAGCCGGTTTGGACGCAGGAGCTCCGGATGTGGCGGTCCTGGTGGGAGATGAAAGGCGTGTGGCCCAGCTTGAGCGTGTGGAGGTAGGGGACGTGGTTCTGGAAGGGGGCTCTCCTCCTGGCGGACCGCTCTTGGCTCCTGCACAGTTTCAGGTCGGTCTGCGCCTCTTTGTTCAGGAGGTAGCGCACCTTTTTAACCCTGCGCTCATCCTCGTGGGAGCGCTTTTTCTTCTTTTTCTTTTTGAGCAGGTATTCTTCCAGGGTTTGAGATTTGACGTTTTCATTGTGTGGTCTTGGCTCTAAAAATTTTAAAAAGAAGAGAAGATAAGAGATCCCTTATTCGTCCCACAGTGGGGAAATTTCAATGTTGCAGGGAGCACAGAAAATATACCATATAAGTAGCTGATATGTTTCTTAGCTGGCTGTAAATGCTTCAATATCAAGCTTTCAAAATGTCTCTATATTTAGTGCAAGGTTATAAACATATAGGACAGGATAAGTAGATAAAGTGACATTCAGTGGACATTCTGAAATTGCAGTATTCCACATTGCATACACACACACACACACACACACACACAAATTGAACAAACAATGTTGATCATCACAACAAAGTTTAACACTCAGATTAAAAGTTTAACACTCAGAGACTGGCAGATTTGAGTACTTTTTGCAGTTCCACAGATTGCAGATATGTCAACGTGACTTGACCATTAATCAGTTATAGAACCGTCATTACTGGTCTTTTCTATGTGAAATAAAAACTGTTACAAAGCCTGGAATCTGCTCTTTCAGATGCATCTCGTGGCTGCTGTGTACAACAGGACGATATGTCCACACAATATGTAAACACTAGCGCATTCATTCATTGTGTTGACGTTTAACCAACTTCTCCATTTAGAATGTTTTATATGTGGGAATTAAAAAAAAAAAACACAAAGGAGATAGGGCACAGTGGCATTGTGTATATTGTGTAGTGATGTTGTGGGACATGTGGGATATCTCTGTTCATTTTACCACATAACAAACCCAAAATCATGGTCATACTGCACAAAGAAAACATGCAAAATAGGTTATGTAAACCTATTGCAGATCCAGCCCAGAGGACAGCGCTGAGGGCAAAGCAGGAGGCTGAAATTTACCAAGAGATTTCTTACCGCACCGGCCCACCTTTTTGGGGACAGGATCAGGATGCATACTTGATCTGTATAATATTTACAGTCTATGATCCCCAGACACAGGTAAACAACTGTGATCCATGTCCCCAGACACAAGGTCAACAAGGACTGATAACCTTTTCTGATCGCAATTTTAAAGTAAATTAATTCTATTCCGCATTCTATTCTATTATTTAACAAAAAGCAGGTGATTATTATTGAAACAGAAAGCAGAGTTTGCATCAGACGAGACTCATTTGGGTTGCCAGTTTATTGGTGAATTTCAGCTGGTTTTGCTACAACCATCATTTTGCATTGAGTTCAATATATACAGTACGCCTCTATATTTATTTGAATAGTTTTAATAATCCTGTTGAAAACTGCAGAACTTTCAATATATATAAAGCAGCAGATCATCATAAAGCGTTTGTGAATAGTTAATTGGGAAAAACAGATAGTGACATTAGAGAAATACTTACAATTTACTCTTCACTAAGTAGTATTTTGAAAAGCCAGATCTATTTTAGTGCCGTACATATAAAGTTTCACGTCTCTCACGTCTAACAAAACATGTTGAAGATTCAGGATTGTAGCCTAATGAATACAACTTTTTTGACACATTTTCAAAACGGAGATATCTGAACTCTTCATGTTGATAAAGATCTATGCCACTGTGACCAAACAAGTTACATGTTGTCATTATTTACAAGTAGATTAAGTGAAACCTGGGTGGGTATTGGGGTATGACCATAGACTGTAAATATCGGTATGACAGATGTGTTGTGAGCAATGAAGCCTTACACACACACGGGGCGTCCTCCAAATAAGAGGAACAAGGAGCATGTGCAGAATGAGTGGTGGACACACTTTACATACTCAGTTTTATTCCAGTTACCAAAAATACAAAACTCACCTCTCTTTTTCTGTCCTTCTGGTCGCGTCCCATTGCGCTCTGTGTTCTCCTTCTTCACTTTCTCGTCCCCTGCCCTCTTTTCCCGGTGCCGTTTCTCCGCTGTGCACTTGACTTTGAGCGGTCTGAACGTAAACAACTCTGTGGGCTCCGTGCGCTTTTTGGGTACCTGCTCTGGAGGGGTCTTCCTCAGAGGCGCAGCGGGAGGAGGGCGAAGAGGCAGAGGAGGCGGAGGAGGCGGAGAAGGCGTGACAGGCGGCTGCAGACTCTTCTTCAGGCCGTGGTGCTGGTGCTGGTGGTTATGCAGATGGTGGTGGTGGCCGTGGTGTGAGTGGTGATGGAGCGCATGTTTGGAGCGGTCAGGAGCGGTGGCGGTAGGGTCAGGAGCGGTGGTCTGGTGCTGCAGCTTGTGCGTCTTTTGCGCGCGGTGCTCATGGTGTTGCTTGTGATGGTGGAGCTTGACTTTCTTCACCTCTTTCTCACGTTTGTCAGCGAGCGGGGACAAGGCTCTCTTCTTCTTCTTCTTTTTCTCCTCTTTTAAGAATCTGTCCAAACAGTCCCTCATGCGCTCCTCTCCCACTTTGGCACGGTGCAAGTCTCCAGCCGTTGCCATCTTTGCACGTACACTTCATTTAAAGAACCCACACTGTCACTGCGCACTGTGCGCAGGTGCTGCTCAAGTTGTAGTCCTCCGCCCGCCTGTTATCTCTGGGTGCGCATGCGTAAAGTCTAGCATCATGGGTCGGGTAGTTTTTTAACGGCGCAAAGCTTCTCGGGGGTTGTAGTCAATGGAGAGAGCTGCGTGCAGTCCGGCACGCACGCACTTCAGGCCCGGCTTACGTCATGGATGGAACACCGTGCTTTGAGGGGGCAACACCGATATTATAGATCCATGGGCCACACTGAGACTGTTAACACTATTAACAGACAGTGCAGTCTATGGGACTGATGCGGCAAGTGTAAGAATATTAATATTTACAGTCTATGGTAAGGATATGCAGATTAAATTGCTTGCTTGGTCAGACAGACCCTAAAGCAAGTCATAAAGCAGGGGTCTCGTACCGGTAGCTCACATCCCCTTTCAGATAGCACCCTAAAGGATTCAAGAATTAAAAACATGATCCTAAATGACTTTGGGTCATTCCATATCTATATATCTCTCCATGATTAGCTGTAGTTTTTATATAGACCACAATTGTATTACGACTGCTAGAGGAGTAGCTCTCTGCCATTTCTGTTTCCAAAAATGTTGGAGAACCCTGTACTAAAGGGTTCAGAACATATGGGAAAAATGTATAGCTTTGTCTGCAGTTATAGGCAACTGATTTTCATTTCTACAACAGTGTCTGAATGCTAAATATTTGTCTAGTTATTTTATAATCCGTCCTGACTTGACAATAGTTACCAATAATAAAATAATCACATGGAGCCATAATCTTTCTGAAATGTGACTAAGCTGAAGTGAACAAATATAAAACATGCAAAATGACAGCATCTGGGGAAAGCTCCAATTCACTTTCAAAAATCATCTGCAAATTCTTTCCACTAATACCATGATCCACTCAGTCACCAACTTTGCACATTTCAATTGCATGCAGTCTATGAATAATTTACTCCTTACTATCACTCTGTGTAATAGGTTGATATGATATCAATGAATGACTTGAGACGTCAGTGATTTTACTCAGTAAACCTTTATTTCAGTGCATGAACAGAATATGCCATGACCAGATTATATCTATCCACCCATTTGTATCAGTCCCTTAAAAAAATAATGAAACGATTTACATAGGATTCTTATGCATGAAGGCAATTTTATACAGGTGCTGTACAATTTATAAACATTTACAACTACCATGATGTCAAAACTAAAACTTTTCATAGAGATTGAAGCAATGCAAGGCCACAGTATCATAAATGGTTCATAGCATGGATAAGAGGAGGGGATACAGCAGCCCAAGAATCGAAAACATTATTATTATCATCTTTTAAAATATATATAAGTGCGCAGGCAATGGAATGAATTCGCCACTAGATGTCAGTCTAGTCCACACCATCTTCGCCTTTTCTCTTCATAACGTCATTACTTCATAACTTCATACCAGTTTACACCATTAATACAAATCCTTCACACTCAAAACTTCATTACACCTCTAAAAGTGACTGAAAACCTCTTGTTCATAAAAATATCAGCATGTTTCATCACATTTCGGGTCAAAAATTAAATAAAAACATTGATCGAAAAATAGATCTAGACTTTAAAATGGAAGCAAGCTATGTGTGATATGTTTTGTGAGAGTAAAAAATAGAATTCGATTAAGATGAAGGCAAAGTTTACACTAGTTACAATCAAGCTTCCGATTCAATTCTCTCCAATAGGCTACATCACTGTTTGTGTAATTACTTGGTTAAATAATATCTGAATATTGTCAATGCTACAAAATATACACACAGGGCCTATAGACGGAAGCTTATAAATAGTGGATGAATCCAGCTTGTGTGGCCATTTGGAAACACTGAAATAGAAAGTTTAGTTAGAGACATAAAACTTTACTATATGTGCCTTGTTAAAATTCAAACAAATAGCTGACGCTTTGTACAATATCTGAATAAATTACATTATAATGCTCTTTATATTAACACACAGGAAATAAACATATTCAGAACCACAAGTGTCTGGTCTGTTGATTGATGCATATAAAGCTGGTCTCACCGCATGTTAAAAGAGAAATGATTTCAGTCTATTACAGAAGTGCAGTCAAAAACTAAAAAAACAGGCAAAATAATAAAAGTGTGCCCTCTGTGTAGTCCGAATCAAAAGAGAAAGGTGCACTATGTTTGTGTGGTGGATGGTACGCAACTTGCTTTTCTATTAGAAAGCATGCTACACAGTTTAGCATCAAATTGATCCATGCTTCAGGACAAGTGTGGCACTCCTCACTGTGCGTTTATTACTACAGCATTAGCAATTATGTACAGTGAAGATGAACAAACCAATTTAAAAACAAATAAAAAAACAAATACAATAGCAATGTTTGTCAAAAGTAATACTTTTAGACACCAAAAACCGTGTAGCTCTACTTTTTCCCGTAGACAAGCATGTAGCATATCCTCTACTGACAATAACACATAATGCACCTTTCACCAGTTGTAGACGGACGCATTCTAGGTATTCATCTTGTCAAATAAAAAATAAAAACATGAATCACCGTCATTCATTTTAAGTTCACAGTGGCTGCAATCTAGAGCAGTTTATTCCTTCTTCGGCCCTGGCACGAAAAAATAATAAAAAAAATCCATGCATGGAAGTTGAGCAGACCAAGGCAGGCTGAGTGAATCGTGAACAACCATAGGTAACACAGTGATTTGTCTAAAAAATATATATATGTATAACTTGCTACTTCATTTCAAAAGGCTCAGTTTAGACTCCCTCATAGGACACATCCATTTGGGACTGGATTTTTGCCGTGCTCGGGACTTTCCAGGGGCCGGGGGTGATCTGCGCTTTCTTAGCCGCACTAGTCGCAGAAGCAGTATTAGCAGTGCTAGCGACCCCGTTGGTCAAGCCTGGATCTTGGACGCTACTACTTGACCCTCTAGGTTCTCTGCGACCGGTTTCTTCATGATAATTCCTGGCCTCCTTGTTGTAATCTCTCTTTGCTCTCCGCTCAAGTGTCCCGCCGTCCCCCTCCGACGCCACACGCTCCCTGGACTTGTGCGCATCGTGATCCACATTTTTGATCTTGCGGCGATCGTTTGGACCCCTTGTTTTGTCGGTAGATTCTTGGTCTTGCTTCCACTCCTCTGTGGGGGGTCTGTACGGCTGCTGGCCTCCCGGGCGCCTTGGACTTTGAGGCGTGTTTTCGCTCTTGGACGTCTTTTTCGGACTGGACGAACGGCGCTCCTTCTGCCCTCTCCTCTCCGCGGTCACGTCCTCCAGAGACCCGCTAGGTTTTTCAGTTTTTCTGGGGCTGTGAGAGCGGTCGGTGAACTCAAACTTGCTTTCTGCATGCTTTTGCGGGCTTGCCGGTTTGGGGTAAGCAGCTTTTTTGTTAGGGGAGTTTGGGCCGGTGTGGTTGTGTCGAGATCGGGTTGTGGAGATATCGTCAGACGTTTTGGAATTTGGGGAAAGTTCGGCGAAGGATGGAGAGGCCGGAGAGGACGGCACATCTGAAGCTGAGAGTCTGGGGAAGCTTGAGGTTTGAGTGGTTACTTTGTCCTTGGGACCTAAAACATGGACAAGTCAATAAGTAACTTTTACACTGGACATACAGGTCAATAAATATAAATATTGCTAAAAGCGTCCACATGTAATATTTTCATTTTAAATTAAACCTACATCTTTCGTGTCCCAAATACTAAATAAAATGTGGTCTTTTCTGAACTAAAGTTTATTCTTTATTAATAATACGTATTTACAATACTTGTCTAACCCCCCCTGCATATTTTAAATGCAAAGTACAAAGCAGGTTCATACATAATGCAGTGTTTACCATGTCTAGCTAAACCCCAGCTGTGATCTGTGATCAATGCTTAGAAGTTACATGCATCACAGGCAGATGCCAGAATCTGGCAACACAAGTTGGATAGTAATAGTAATTACTTTTATTACCCTAGTAAGAATGCAAACTTCATTTGGTCCCTTAAAATAAGTGATACATTTGAAACACATACTTAATATATAAGGGATTTTCCACTTGTTTCAATAAAATTGAACCACTGAAATATGAGCTTTTCCATTTTAATAAAATTCATTGACATGCGTTTGAAAATGATTAGCCTGACCAACCACCACTGCTACAGGAATATAAACCTTAACTGACTGATGACTATTTTTTGTTAAGCAATAAACCATACAAGAGTAAGTCGTGGTTTGAGAAATGAATCTTATTCCCAAGTGAATGGCTTGTCAGGCTAATTGGCAAAAAGGAACATATGTCAAGCAAAAAAGCACCAACAGTAAAACCTGCTTCCCTAAACCTATTTAAAAGCCTCTAAACAGCAGTCGTCTTATTTATGCTTTATCGGCTGTCATGAAAATCAATGCAAAAAGGAGCTAGCATTTTGACATTTCAATTTTTCCCTCAGGTCTGATAAGAGCTGCTAAGAAAATATGCGACAGAGACAGAAACAGCGACAGAGTGATGGGATTTAATGGAATGAGCTGTTGGATATTGTATCATTTATCTCATTTGATTGTAAAAGGAAAAGTCACTGATGGCGCCTGCACACACGGGGTCGTACAGTGCCTTTCTATATTAAACGTTATCCTTGTTATAACTATATGCTGATTTACATATCGGCGTTTCTATAATTACCCATAATGAATTGAACGCCCTAGGGACAAAGGTTTTTAATAGTATTAGTGAAGTTGCTCAGTGTTTCCAATAGCATTGATAAAACAGTAATAGTAAAACACAAACTAATTCTATTGAAAATAATACTAATACTAATGATAAATACATCCACTCAGAATTTGCTCACTAAAAAAACATGTTATTAATAGATTATATAAGAAAGCTGGTAATTCCCCTGCCTCTCTCAGCGATAATATTGCACACAGAATGATGGGGGTGGTGTGAAGGTTGGATGGCACTTGACGATGAAAAGAAGGGTGTTCAAAGTGAAAAGTTGGAGTTACCAAAGTTATTATGGACAGACCAAGAAAAGCAGTGACTCAGTCTTTAGTGAAGCTCTGGTTTCATGTAGAAGCACAGGGTGGAAGTAGAAGAGTTCAGACCTACAGAGGAGAGACAGAGACAGAGGGAGAGAGCCGTGCTGAGCGGAGGTCATCAGGCAACAAGCTGCAGAGGTGAGGAGGAGCACACAGGAGCTACGGCTGATGACACACTTTGTTGACACACACACTGCTGACGCTGCATCAGGAGTATGGATATTGCATTGACTGCTATAGCACCGACTATAATTGACAGGATTAGACAATATCACTATAGTTCATTTCTGATGGTGGATACAGAAGAGCTACATGTCTCTTCTTAGACTCTTTGACTACTTGTGATTAAGGGCAACACATACAGTATTTGCATGTTTCAACCACTAAAAACATGTACAATAGTAAAGTGCAGTACATTACTTGGATCGATTTGTAGAGAATATTGGAGTTTTCAGACAGAACTCTCATTTTACTGTAAATTACAATTTAGTTTAGATGTAATAATGACAATTGACTAAAATTAGTGTTTTATGATTATTTTCCCCTCAAATCTCTCAATGAGTGTTTGTCAAGTTTATTGAAATGAAATAAATACTTTCCTTTGAGTAAATTCATTTTAAAAGAATAATAGTTGCACTAATAGTTCCATTTGTACCTCCTCTCCCCACCTCTGAAAGCGCGGCAGATAAAGCACAATCAAAAGTAGCATGAGAGAGAGCAGCTGCAGTTCCACATGCACAGGTGTGCAGGTGTGCAGGTGTAGGCCCAGACTCACTCTGGTCCGGGACCAGGCCCTGGCCCGGTCTCATGAGCAGTAGGACCTTGGTGCCTCCGGCTTGGATCAGCTCGATGGCTCTGGTGTGAGTGATGCCCTGTGTGGGCTCCCCGTTTATCTCCACTATCTGATCTCCAACCTGTAACGGAGAAAGTGTTTTTGCAAAACAAACATGCATCTGTTATTACATTTCTAATGCTTCCTAGTTCTAACCAAAGATATTAGTCTAATCCTTTCTGCATTGAACTGCACATTTGAATCTCCTGAAGAACCCTAAAAGGAACACTATGCTGAAAACTTGGCAAATGCCTAAATGTTTCAACATGTTCTGTGAAAAATGTATCGTTAATAGTAAAACCTGTTGCTGCAACGAACAAATTAAATGACCGTTTGACGAGGCAGCAATTAGTGGCATCCGTCCATATTTTCATAGTCATTAAGGTATGAATGACTACACCCCCCCCCCCCCCCCCCCACACTTGTGTAGATGTAGTTGATGGTGCAGCACACATGACGGCAGATATGATAATTCCACTTTACATGTATGCGGCCGTCTTTCAGCGCAGGTCCGTCCTCTGCCAGTCTGAGGATGAACAGACCCATGTTGTACTCTTTTCCTCCTCTGAGACTGAAGCCGAAGCCTCTGTGACTGCGCTCCAGCTCCACCACGAAACAGCCCTGACACACACACACACACACACACACACACACACACATACATATAAACTCATCATGGTCTGGACATAAGATTCAGATTCAAACTAGTTTTGTTTATCCTACAAGAGGCGATTGATTTGAGCAGCAAGAGCAGTAAAAAAAAACATCTAAACGCTCTGCTTGAATGAAGTACTTTGAATTCTAATGTTGGACTTGCCTGTTTGGGGCCGGTCATGATCATCTGCCCAGTGTCTCTTGAGAGGTTGTTGAGTTCGGAGTCACTATTTCTGTACAAAAAAAAAGTGGGTATAAGAATAGTTCACAGACATATAAGTCATCAAATGTCACAGCTGTTTGAGCCACTGTACAAATATAGTTGAGTTCAATAGAATACAGAGGTAATATGTTATTTTCTGCCCTTCTACTGGAGAAAGTTTCTCTCTAAACTCTTGAAATGAGTCTAATGACAGCAGGACTTTGACAGGAGGCTGGGCTCGTTACAAATCCTCTGCTCACGAGGATTCCAGGCTGCACCTCTGGATCTGCAGCCGTCACCAGCTGAGGCTTTGGTTATCAGCGCTGCTAATGTCGGCGCTGTAATCTGAGGCACGTGTGGAGGTCAGACGAGGGCAACGGAATACAATAATAATAGAGTCATTTTCATATTCCAAGTTTATTACTGTAGGATTTATTTACTTGGCATATATGAGTTGTTTCATGTTGTCATTCATCATCTCTAAATCTATGGTCTATCTATGGTTTTGACCTGACTTTGAAGTCGCCTTAGTGGTGCCGAATGCAAAACTTGCGGGTTCGAATATTAGCTAACTTGATCCTTTTTCCTAATATTTCTTCCGACGGCATTAGCGTTGCGCCATAATAGAGGCGGATATGTTGCTATGATGGTTGCTAAGGTTAGCAGGAGTCCTCCTCCCTTCTTCTTTATTATTTGTTGATCAGTTCTTCACAGAATTCATATCGAACCATTATCAACACCAACTTTTATAGTTTTTAAAATAGATTTGTTGTACATATATCCCAGATAGCACCCACTCCACCCCTAAAAGTGCCGGCAAGCTTATGAAATTACAAAAGTCCATGGTTCATAGTTGCAAAGTTAAAGGGATGGGATTGTTTTTAACCAATCTCTAAAGACCTGTTGCATCTTCTGTATGAAAAGTGTTTTATAAATAAAATTTGATTGATTGATTGATAAAATTGAAAGGTCAATGGGTGTGTAAACTTTCAATCAGAATCAGAATTATTTTTAAGTAACAGGGCTAGGATTGCTGTCAGGCAAAAGTCTAAAGTAGACTAGTTATACGCCTTCTGCCATGGCTCCAGTGGGGTGCCAGACAAGACAAAGTGGTAGGGAACGGCACGGAAACTACGAACAGATCAAACCCACCAAAGTCAAGTGACCAGACCTAAGCAAGTGTCATGTAATATCATGTACTGTTTCGAATATATATTTTTTTACAATGGCTTAAAAAAATTGCATTGCACTTGGTGAAAAATCTACCATCAGCAAATTCACCTGCAAAGTTACCCAGTGATGTAAAGTAATGTACATACAGTATCAAGCACAGTTCCCAGTACGATCAGCGGACAGACGAGGCTAAGCGAGGCGGATAGAACATTGTGCGTGGGGGAGCGCTGAACTCCCGCCGCGGTGGAGGATTATAAAAGTCTGACACAGGTAATCTCTTTTAAAACTGAGAGATCAAAGCGGGCCGCATTATAATCTCCGGCTCTTCTCTGTCCGCCACTGTCCAAACGTATGCATGAGGGATTTACTGTCTGTCCAGATTACAACAAGTGGACCAGCGCCACCGGAGAGAGCCAAGTGCCTCGAGGGGATCGCCGCTAATTTATGGTTCAAGAAGCAAAACCTGATGGTAAGTATGTCCCCGCGCCAACGGAAGAGGAGCAGGAGTTATAATGACTTCAGTGCAGAATCTATGACTTCAGTGGGAGTTGAGAGGGGCGCATACCAATGACATTAACCACTATAAACTTGCCTTGCCTACTACTACTACTACTACTGCTGATACTACTGCTACTGCTGCTGCTACCACTACTACTACTACTACTGCTGTTACTACTGCTGCAACTACCACTGCTGCCACTAGTACTACTACTACTGCTGTTACTACTACTGCTACTACGACTGTTACTACTACTACTACTACTATTACGACTGCTGCAACTACTACTGCTACTACTACTGTTATTGCTACTGTTACTACTACTGTTACTACAGCTGCAACTACTACTGCTGATACTACTGCTACTGCTGCTGCTACCACTACCACTGCTGCCACTAGTACTACTACTACTGCTGATACTACTGCTACTGCTGCTGCTACCACTACCACTGCTGCCACTAGTACTACTACTACTGCTGATACTACTGCTGCAACTACTACTACTACTGTTATGACTGCTGCAACTACTACTGCTACTACTACTGTTATTGCTACTGTTACTACTATACTACTGCTGCAACTACTACTGCTGTTAATACTGCTACTGCTGCTACAACTACTGCAACTACTACTGCTGTAACTACTACTACTCCTGATGCAACTACTACTGCAACTACTACTACTGCTGCTGCTGCTGTTACTACTGCTACAACTTCTGCTGTTACTACTACTACTACTACAACTACTACTGCTGCTGCTACTACTACTGCTGCAACTACTACTGCAACTACTTCTGCTGTAACTACTTCTGCTGTAACTACTACTCCTACTCCTGCTGCAACTACTACTAGTACTGCTGCTGCTAAATAATACGACAAGAAATGTATTAAAACAACACCCATAATCTCAAAGTATGTGGAATAATCTAAACGAGTCCAGAATGAATTGAGGTTTGTTGTGTGTGTGTGTGTGTGTGTGTGTGTGTGTGTGTGTGTGTGTGTGTGTGTGTGTGTGTGTGTGTGTGTGTGTGTGTGTGTGTGTGTGTGTGTGTGTGTGTGTGTGTGTGTGTGTGTGTGTGTGTGTGTGTGTGTGTGTGTGTGTGTGTGTGTGTGTGTGTGTGTGTGTGTGTGTGTGTGTGTGTGTTCCGTGTCCGTGTGTGTCCGTGTGTGTCCGTGTGTGTCCGTGTGTGTCCGTGTGTGTCCGTGTGTGTCCGTGTGTGTGTGTCCGTGTGCGTGTGTGTGAGTCCAGTGGGAGATACCTGTCGATGTGGCTGGGAGGCTGCTGTCCCACGGCTCGGTGCTGAGATGAAGGACTGTGTTTGGCCGAGTTTGTCCCAGACCGAGGAGTGCTTTCTGAACATCACACAACACAACAGCTTTAGTCGGACGCACAAGTAGTAAGTAACGATTGCTCTCCGCTCTCTATGAGTCCAAGTCTATTTCCAGATTAGAACAAATGTAAAAATGCATTGTGTTTCTGTAGGCGGAGTAAACATCTGAGATGAGTTGGATGTAGATTTAAAAGAATGCCGAAGTATACAAGTATACTTCAAGACTTTGCTGAAGAAGAAAATTATTCAAACATATATTGATTGTGAATGCTGAGCAGAAAAAAAATCATAATTATGGAGTAAATGTCTTATTTTGATTTGTGTATAGCAGCTATTTAAGTTGAATCTATACTAAAGGGTAAGTGTTGCTTTAGCTTCTGCCTATTCCTTTTTCAGACCTTATTTTGACCTTTTGTTTCCCAAGTGCCTGAAAGTGTTTTTTAATTGTCAAACATTTCTGAAATAAATGGCCAAACTGAACTGAACTGAAGTGAACTGATGCAAACGTACCATCCTCAGGGACCACCGTGAGAGTGACAGAGTTTCCCGCCTCCTTAATGAACTGCACGATCTCGTTGTGGGAAAGGTCGATGATGGACTGACCGTTCACCGCAGAGATACGATCCCCCACTTTCATCTGCCCCAGACGGTCAGTGGGGCTGCCCTCAATGATGCGCCCGATTTTATGAGGAATCACTAAAAACAGACAAATATTTGAGTATTTTTCTAGATCTTCCATAACTGTACAAAATCTGCATTGGGAACATTTGTAGAATCTGCACTTTCGACCTCCCCAAACATGTTTAGTAATGTACTTTTCTGGTATTGTCAAATGGTAATGTCCCCCCAGCAAGAAGGTCTTGGGTTCGATTCCACTTCCAGACCTTTCTGTGTGGCCTTTGCTTGTTCTCCCCGTGTCTGCCTTTTGTTTCCTCCTAGTGCTCCGGTTTCCCCTACCACTAAAAATATGTACATTGTGTCTGGTTCGCGCCTTCTGTACACCAACCCCGCTCCCATCTCTGTGTGGAGTGAGAGATACAAATGCCCTCTGGTCTGTGAAAAGCGCTATATAAATAAATATTATTACTTACTTACTTCCCAATGCTCAATGTGCACTCCAAAAACCAATACTATCAAACTAGAAATACCATCACATTCCAATCACGATGCCATTGTACACATTTTATTAAAAAAATGTCCAAATCCTTTCATGACGTTTTGTGTTATATTGCAAGAGACAAACAGACAAACAATGGTGATCACTTTACCTCCTGGGCAGAGGTAACTAATGTGATGCACTCACAATGCTTTTCAGAAGAAAAAAAAAAAGATTCACACAGATTAGTGGTGGTGGAAGAAGCTGTCGGCACAGAATTGGCAGAATGCATCTCGGGCCCAGAACACCTGTGGCTGCTTACTACGGCCGAGAGTGCGCACGGAATGATGCATTTGTAAAATGCCTGTGAGTACAAATAAAGTGCCATAAAAATCTTATTCATTACCCAGAGCCAGGGGGGAACTATCAGCCTATAATGACAAAACATAGCAAATGTTCTGAGCTGTACACTGGCCACATTTGTGGGATAAAAAAAAAAAATACAAATCAGATCGTTCAGAGTGAAGTCAAGCAGTGGCAAAAGCTTTCAAAATGTGTATGTGAATGTATTAAATTATATCTGGGCAAAAATGCAATCTCGAGACTTTATTCCTTCAATGAAATGGCAAAACTAAAGGCCAGCATACCGTTTGATTATCAGGGATTTCTATTTAATCTTTTATCATCAGAGTTGTTTTCTTTTTTCTTTTAATTGTCCTTAATTACATTTACACAAACAGGGAGAAATTGGAAAAACTTCTTGTCTAAACTTAAACTTACAACTACTAGACAAGACAACTTATAATTGTTTTTAGAGAAACTATAATGTCATTGACTGATTGGTCATAGGCCAACAGATTGTGTATTTTGTTCACTTGTTTTGTCATTTCTTCCATTATGTCATTAAATTTAAATGAAGACACATTGAATCTACTAGACACAAAAAAAGTAAAAGCTTGCGTTTACAGAACCACAGAACAGCAGTCTTGTCCTGGCTCACCTCCAGGGGGCGGCTTGTTCTTGGAGGTGAGGATGACAAAGCCAAAGCCCTCGTGCTCTCGCCGGGTCAAGGTGACCTCGAAGCTCTCGGGACGTCCAGACTGAGACACGGTGTTGGACACATCCACACGAGGGATGACCGGAGAACTGTTGACCAGAGCAGAAGCCACGCGCTGGGTCTGTGGAGCTCCAGGGTCCTCCTCCGCGGCTCCATCTGACAGAGGGTGAAGAAACTCTTGTATTCACCTTATATAAGTGCATTTGACAAAATACTCAACTATTGACTGATAATGTATCTTACTTTTAAATTTCTTATTAGATTATTAGATGTATATACCCAGTGTGGTATCTTTTAAAGGCGGATTTTATTTTGAGAATGTTCATTTTATATTCTTCTACAAGTAGAGCAAACATATAAGCTCAGCTTCTTTGTTGTTCTGCTCTTTTTTGTTCTGACAAGTAAAGTTAGTTAGAAGAACAAAGTTTCAAAGCTGCATTTTGAAAGCTGTCAAAGAGATCTGTGGACGTCTTCTGAAAAAACATACTTGTTTTTATTGTGTCGGCTCCATTTATCTAACTGTGATGGCAACTCTCACATTTTAGCAAATTGTAATGATCTCAAACTATAAGGGCTATATCTATATATATTTTTAAACCAATGAATCTGGAGATACTTCCTTTGATGAATCAATCCCTTCTTTAGAATGCAGTATGGGAATGTTTCTAAACTTGGCCCAGATAAAGCTGCATGAAGCCGCTGGAGGACATCCTCATGGATGTTGTTTTCCATAACAGACTTTAAACAATCCAAATACATTTATTTTTGTATAGCACAAAAGCAGTTGTCTCTGAGGACTTTACAAACATTTTAATTCTGCCCAAAACAAATAATTATTTTTAGTATTTATTTACTCCGTTATTTGAGTCTTAAAATCACATTTTGAGATGAACAGTTCTAAACTATACTTAGACGGAGACTGACAAATAAATCAAAATGTAATCATCTTTGATGATTAAAAGCAAAAATAATACACAGTTGATTTCAGTTTGAGATTTGGTTGAAAAAATATATATGTACTGTACATATAGGCTACAAAATGTATGTTTCATAATAATAATAATATACATTATACAGTGTGGCAAATGCAATGTTTGATAGAGCTGCCAAAATGGATAATGTAGTGATATATTGTTTATAAAAGCAGCAAAGCCAAAACCAATGTGCAATAGTGTAACCTACATAACATATAATTTCTTTGAGAGGTAATTATGAGACTTAAATCACTTACTATTTGCTAACTACGTTCATTAAACTGTTGACTTTTTATTTCTCCCAATGACATAACCCACGTGTATAATGTGTTACATACACCGCACAGACAGCTGCCGCCATCTCTCTTTATCCTGTTTGTGCAGTTATGACGGAGTATCTTGTTTGTCATTTTGCATTTGGGAAATCTCTGAAGACCGAATGTAAAAAGTCAGTGAAGATTGATGTTGGTTTTCTGCGATGTGCTCCAGCCACTGTTGTTGCAATACATCAACTCCCCCAAGTCATTCCAAAAAGTGCTTGTATCATTCTGCAGACCCATTTATTTATTTGTGGAAGTAAACAAGACGGAATGCTTTGTACTGTTTTTATATCTAATCTAGGCTCTTCACTTGCGTCCAATCCTAAAAGTGCAGGATTGAGAAAAGCATTTCCAATAGAGTTTTTTTTTTTTTTAGGGAGAATCCATCTGCTTTGCTTTCGAAAGTCAATTTAAGCGGAACTTTTATTCAAGCACAAGACACTCTCCCAGGACACATTTAAAGGATTTCCCGGAGAATTGCAGATCAAAGCATCAACTTTGAAAGCATGAACTGTGTTTCCTCAGCATACTGATTCAGACAATAAAGCTTACAGTATACGTTCATTTTTGAGGATGTTTAGGGGAGATTCAGATTTGCCAGATGCAGGAATGTGCACGAGGACAGGTCTGTTATCCCCACAGCTGTCAAACTGGAATGATCGTAGACGGGTAGAAATGAGAATATCGTTCATTTATTTCTGTAATTCAACATAAAATGAAGCCGGTTTACATAAGCTAACTCTGTAATAAGTTTGATGATTTTGTCTTACAGTCCATTTCTTTTCTTTTTTTCCTGAGATTTTTTATTTGGGTATTTTACAAGCTGTGAACCAATCATCAACGTCAACATATAATCAACATATATCTCACATTGAGTGTAATAAGTCTGTCATATATTGGTTTCACGTTGTGGAATTACAATATTCAATGGAATTTTTGCGATTTTCTGAATTTTACTTGAATGATAAAGTATTTATTGTGTTGCGCTGCAAACAGAGATGACAATGGTCACGGAACAGAAAACAAATGCGCAAACATTTTACATTTTTGTCCCCTCCCTCCCATGGGTCCACCCATCCCAACATAAATACACAAACACACACACACACACGCACACACCCAGCCCCGCTAACCCCCCACCCCATTCTCCAGGCATCAATAACATTTCATTATTTACAGACACATAATATGTGATAAAGAATGATAAAGTGAATTCAGTTACTTTTCAAATTGTGAAGAGAGTGTGAAACTGTTTGAAGACCACCACTGGTTAGCCCCGCCCATGCTCACTACATGCAGCTTCTTGATTGGTCATATTTAAATCCAATCCTTTAAGCTCCTCATCATTGGTTTACTTATTCTCTTCCAATAAATCCTATGCCAAGGGGAGGGATAGCCCCAGTTCTATTGTCATTGGGAAAAAAGTGATAATTCAAACATGGCTATAGCTGTCCGTATTAAAGATTCCTCATAAAGCTTTTAAAAATGCCAAGAAAACTCAATTTCAATAGAAAAATGGAAGGTTTAAGTTATTTAGTTAGATGTGCTCACTACAAAAAATGATAAAAGGTAATAAGAGGTAATAATTGCTTGAATCGTTTATTTTTTTAAATCTTAATTTGAGTACATTCTGACTGTCTTAAAACAAGATTTGCCAATGGGACAAAGCCATTTAGTCTTATATCAAGAACTATTGCTTTACCATATATTTAAAATAATAATAATAATTGCGCTTGTCCCATTGGCAAATTTTGTTTAAATCTTGTGCTGAAATCGAGACACATTTTGCCAGATTTGAGCATTTTTTTACTTTCATCAATTTTGCAAATAATTCAGTGTTTTCTTTCAAACACCAAGACACCATGTGAGCGTGGGGAAGGACCCTGGTACCAGTCGCACCTGTATTGGCCAGCTTCCTGCGCACGGTCAGCATGACTTGTCCGTTCCGCGCAGCGTTGGTCATAAGTTCCAGAACCTGTTTGTGGGACTTTCCTTTGACCGGGACCCCGTCTATGCACAGCAGCTCATCTCCCGCTCTGAGGCGCCCGTCCTTCTCTGCCGCGCCCAGGGGGACAATGGCCCCGATGTAAACCTGGAATGAGGAAGACGGGACTGGTCACTAAAGCACAGTTAACAACATGACATGAATAGATGTATATCGTTTTAAAGCTAAAGCTAAAGTTACTATTTGGTTTAATAAATACAGTATATTTAGTTTGTCTGAACAGAGAGTCTTGTTCAAGTAAAATTCTGTGAACATGCCGTCTTCATCTTAAAAGAAATCATGTGATCATTTGTAAACTGAGAGCTGATTGGTTGAGTGAGGGTGGTCCACTCTTTTTCGCTTTCCTGTCTGAAAAAATTGATTTGAAGGTTTAACAGAGGCAAAAATACTGTATATATGTGATTGTGGTTTGAAAGTTAGGTTCTCCAACTTTGATTAGTTTATAGTTTGATGAATGAGTTTTGAAAATATGTCATAAAAATAATGGGAATTGCACTACATTAAACATTAAAACAATTTCAGCAGTTCTCGATTCACCTCTACGCTACTTCTGCACAATTTAAATACACAAACTGTAGCTTTTAAATGCATATTTATTGTTAAAAATGAAAGTGAATTCAAAGATTTAATTATTAGGAATATTTATGCACATCAAGTTTTCTAGTAAAAGCACATTGTATTTGAGAGAGTGACAAAATCGATTTTTGTGGTAGAATTGACAATAATAACAAGTTATTCTTGCATAGCTTTTCCAGAAAACCAAAGTGGCTTCACACTTTCATGTATTATTCATATCCAGAAGCCTCGGGTTAAACTTACAGACGTCTGGCTGCTAATCGCCACCATCAATTACTCACTCGCCAGATTAATACTGAGCGGCACTTTTCTTAAATTTATAAAAAGGGAATTAAACAAAAAGGAGTTGACCTGATAATATTGGGTTCTAAAAGAAATACTACCATCGTTTATTAAACACTAGGTTTAAATGAGGTAAAGACGCACAGACAGAATAAGAAGATGCAAAAGAAGCAACTTCTAGTTCGCTATGTAACATGTACTACAAACAAGGCCAGTAATCACTTTTGCCTTATTTGTAAAAAAGGCAGTACTGAGTAAGTTACTCAGTTAAATATTATTATTATGTTAAATATTATTAGTATTCCATCCATCCATCCATTTTCTTCCGCTTCATCCGTTGCCGGGTCGCGGGGGCAGCAGTCTAAGCAGAGACGCCCAGACTTCCCTATCCACACACACTTCCTCCAGCTCGTCCGGGGGGACCCCAAGGCGTTCCCAGGCCAGCTGAGAGACATAGTCCCTCCAGCGTGTCCTAGGTCTTCCCCGGGGCCTCCTCCCGGTGGGACGTGCCCGGAACACCTCCCCAGGGAGGCGTCCAGGAGGCATCCGGAACAGATGCCCGAGCCACCTCAACTGGTTCCTCTCGACGTGGAGTAGCAGCGGCTCTACTCCGAGCTCCTCCCGTGTGACTGAGCTCCTCACCTTATCTCTATGGGAGCGCCCAGCCACTCTGCGGAGGAAGCTCATTTCGACCGCTTGTATCCGCGATCTCGTTCTTTCGGTCATTACCCAAAGCTCATGACCATAGGTGAGGGACGGAACGAAGATTGACCGGTAAATTGAGAGCTTTGCCTTTCGGCTCAACTCCCTCTTTACCACAACGGTCCGATACAGCGACCGCATCACTGCGCACGCTGCACCGATCCGCCAGTCAATCTCACGCTCCATCCTTCCCTCACTCGTGAACAAGACCCCGAGATACACCCCACCCACCTGAAGAGGGCAAGGCACCGTTTTCCGCTCGAGCACCATAGCCTCAGATTTGGAGGTGCTGATTCTCATCCCAGCCGCTTCACACTCGGCTGCAAACCGTCCCAGTGCATGTTGCAGGTCCTGGTTCGTTGGAGCCAACAAGACGACATCATCCGCAAACAGCAGAGATGAAATCATGTGGTCCCCGAACCGGACCCCCTCCGACCCCTGGCTGTGCCTAGAAATTCTGTCCATGAACACAGTGAACAGAACCGGTGACAAAGGGCAGCCTTGGCGGAGGCCAACATGCACCGGGAACAGGTCTGACTTACTGCCGGCAATGCGAACACAGCTCTGGCTCCGGTCATACAGGGACCGGACGGCCCTCAGCAGAGGACCCCGGACCCCGTACTCCCGGAGCACCCCCCAAAGGACACCCTGGGGAACACGGTCGAACGCCTTCTCCAAATCCACAAAGCACATGTGGACAGGTTGGGCGAACTCCCATGAACCCTCGAGTATTCGATGGAGAGTATAGAGCTGGTCCAGTGTTCCGCGACCGGGACGAAAACCACACTGCTCCTCCTGAATCCGAGATTCGACCATCGGGCGTAGCCTCCTCTCCAGTACCTTGGAGTAGACCTTACCGGGGAGGCTGAGGAGTGTGATCCCACGATAATTGGAACACACCCTCCGGTCCCCCTTCTTGTAGAGAGGGACCACCACCCCGGTCTGCCACTCCATTGGCACCGCCCCCGATCACCACGCGATGTTGCAGAGACGTGTCAGCCGAGACAGTCCTACAACATCCAGAGACTTTAGATAATCAGGACGGATCTCATCCACTCCCGGCGCCTTGCCACCATGGAGGCTGCCAACCACCTTGGTGACCTCAGCCAGGGAGATGGATGTATCCGCCCCAACATCCTCAGCCTCTGCCTCCGGGGCGGAGGACGTGACGGGGGGATTGAGGAGAACATCGAAGTATTCCTTCCACCGCCCGGCAATATCCCCAGTCGAGGTCAACAGCTCTCCACCCGCACCGTACACAGTGTTGGCAAAGAACTGCTTCCCCCTCCTGAGGCGCCGGATGGTTTGCCAGAATCTCTTCGAGGCCGACCGATAGTCATGCTCCATGGACTCTCCGAACTCCTCCCAGTCCCGGGTTTTTGCCTCTGCAACAGCCCGAGCTGCGGCGCGCTTGGCCTGCCGGTACTGGACAGCTGCCTCAGGAGTCCCATGAACCATCATTGCTCGATAGGACTCCTTCTTCGGCCTGACGGCATCCCTTACTGCCGGTGTCCACCACCGGGTTCGGGGATTGCCGCCGGGACCAGAACCAGAGACCCTGCGACCACAGCTACGAGCCGCCGCACCGGCGATAGAGGAAGAGAACATGGTCCACTCGGACTCAATGTCCCCCTCCTCCGCCGGGACCTGGGAGAAGCTCTCCCGGAGGTGTGAGTTGAAAGTCCGTCTGACAGGGGGCTCAGCGAGACGTTCCCAGCAGACCCTCACTACACGCTTGGGTCTGCTAGGTCTGACCGGCTTCCTCCCCTGCCAGCGGATCCAACTCACAACCAGGTGGTGATCTGTTGACAGCTCCGCCCCCCTCTTCACCCGAGTGTCCGAGACACACGGTCGAAGGTCAGATGATACAACAACAAAGTCGATCATCGACCTCCGGCCTATGGTGTCCTGGTGCCATGTGCACTGGTGGACACCCTTGTGCTCGAACATGGTGTTTGTGATGGACAAACCGTGACTGGCACAGAAGTCCAACAACTGAACACCACTTGGGTTCAGATCAGGGGGGTTGTTCTTCCCAATCACCCCTCTCCAAGTGTCACTGGCATTTCCCACATGGGCGTTGAAGTCCCCCAGGAGAATAACGGAGTCCCCGGTTGGTGCACCGTCCAGTACCCCTCCCAAGGACTCCAAAAAGGCCAGGTACTCTGCACTGCTGTTAGGCCGTAGGCCGTCACAACAATGAGAGACTTGTCCCCCACCCGGAGGCGGAGGGACGCGACCCTCTCATTCACCGGGGAGAACTCCAACACGTGGCGGCTGAGATGGAGGGCAATGAGAATGGCCACCCCAGCTCGCCGCCTCTCCCCGCGAGAAACACCAGAAAAGTGGAGCGTCCAACCCCTCTCAAGGAGTTGGGTTCCAGAGCCCAAGCTGTGTGTGGAGGTGAGGCCGACTATCTCTAGTCGGTATCGCTCTTCCTCCCCCACGAGCTCGGGCTCCTTCCCCCCCAGTGAGGTGACGTTCCACGTCCCAAGAGCCAGCTGTTGGGTGTGTGGACTGGGTCGCCGAGGTCTCCGCCTTCGACTGCTGCCCAGTCCTCTCTGCACCGAGCCGCCACGGACCCCTCTGCAGGTGGTGGGCCCACAGGAGGGACTGCCCACGTCATCCCTCCGGGCTAAGGCCCGGCCACCAGGCGGGGCCTTAGCCCACGTCTTTAATAGTGATGGATGTAAATCATTCAACCGTCTAAAGCTCCAAACATGTTGTACGACAACACTAAGCTCACACTTTGAGAACTAGTGCAAGAATAGAGTTCAGACAATTTTCTGGACAGATATCAGACATTTCAGAGTTTTCCTCCTTGTGAAGACACATCCACATACCGGCTGCTCAGGGCCCTCCCCTCCGAGCACTCTGAAGCCAAAACCCGACTCCTGGTTCCTTTTGATGAACACGTCCAAGTCCTTTGTATTCAGCGCTGCGGAAAAATACACAAAATATAACATGCTTATTGTGAACAGACGGCAACAGCAGAGACATTTTTATAGCAATTTTCCTGTTTTGAGGAGATGAAACACGTTCGCCCTGTCATTAGAGTAAGTGTGAAATTGGCAAAACAAAAGTGCGGAACAAACATGAAAGAGCATTAAGCACGACCATAAAACAACTGTACGGTTATTTAATTGGGGCTGCAAATAATTATTGTGCTATGTGATAAATCTGGTGATTAGCATTTCATGAACATTGGATTAAAGTGATATCTAGGGACTTGTGAGGGCATTTTATAGGCAAATTTTATAGCACGACTTGAAGCAAAACCTAAATGTCAACGTTCCCAAATGATGACTCTGGCAGACAAACGGCCTCTTCTTGGCACATGCCATATTTGACCGTCGGCATAATGTCCAGCTAATATATAAACAGATCTTGTATTTTATAATCCTTTAAATTGATACGGAATACTTAAAAACAAAAACCGATCAGTCGATCTCATGCTCAATCCCTCCAACACTTTGCCATTTGCAGTAAAACCACATTGGAAAAACTGTACAAGGCTACCCAAATGTGGACCAGATGGTACACACCAGAGCTCTTGCAACGGCACTATTTTTTCTTTAAGCTTTTGGAGCTAAAATGAATATATCAAACAGTGGAGATTAAACTAGACCTGCTATGACCCCTGACATGCATTGGGAACAGGTCTGACTTACAACCGACGATTCAAACACAGCCCTGACTGTGGTCGAGAAGGGGCCGAACAGCCCTCAGCAAAGAGTCCCAGACCCTGCACTGACTGAACATGACCTTCGTCGGGTATAATATAGCATTTACTATACCCAAAGGTCACTCAACCGAAACATTGTAAAAAAATATATTATCTTGAAGAGTGAGACTGTGTGGGATAGCCCTTTTTTTCGAGTTTAGCCGACTTACTGCGCACCTGACTGTCGCCTTCTCCGTCTTGCTCTTCCCTCATATAGAAACAGTTGAATGTGAAAGTATCCACTGTTGCTCTACTTAGTTACTGTGTCCCATACCCTCATGCTGCCAACTATATATTACTTGCATTAGAATATACAGTACTTTATACTTGCTTCTTATAATGCCAAAGGTAGAGATTTTATACTTGTTTCATCTTCATACTAAAGTTTTATTTAGTAAAGAGTTGTTGTTCATTTATCTTGTGCTGTGTGCTCCTCATTCATACTTTGCTGTAACTGCAACACTGCAATTTCCCCACTGTGGGACGAATAAAGGCTCTCTTCATCTCAATCTTAAACATGGAAATGTGGCTAATAGTCTCCATTCCAAACACACGTGCAGTTCACTCACGTTTGCTGTCCAGTAGAGCTCTGGACTTGAGGTAGAGCTCGGAGGCGTCTGGTTTGGGAGAGGCCGACTGCATGTTGTTGTTCACTGGGAGCTGGATGGGGTTGGGGGGGACCTCTGTGTGGTTTATATTCTCATTGCTGTTCATCATCTCCTGCCTCTGCATGTTCTGCACCTGCTGAATGGGCTGAGCCACCGGCAGCACTGTGGGGTGGGGGGAGGAGTGAGAGGTGCTGTGGGGGCCAGAGTGGTTTGACTGTGGGAGCGACGATTGTGACGTCGACTGGGACATTGGAGCAGTGATCTGTGAGGGAGGAAAAGTGATTGTTATTTAGATCATCCAAATGCAAAGATTTACTGACACCAAAAGTTGATCATACTTTCTCAACCAAAGAAATTCCACCAAAAGGACAGACAGAGTTTTTCCATTTGGTGAACTTTAGACTAAGGATGTTCAGAGACTTCATAATAACCAGTGCATTTACTTCTGAAGGAAACAAAGTCCTCCAGACCCTTAAACAGAGTGAGTGTACAGGAGTAAGTGTGCAAGTCTGAATAATAGGCCAAATATGATCTGAAATATCTATCCTCCTGGGGCCTAGACCCTGTAGTGGAGAGAATTAACCCAGAGAAGATGTTGTTGGGGCTGAGCAGGAGAAAAATGAAGAGGGGTGCATTAATTAAATACTGACTTGAGGAGCTCAGTTTAAACTGTAGAGCTCAGATAGGAAGGTGCAGATTAGAGAGGAGATACTTGTGACATCATCAGTTATGTGAAGCAACTATTCTATTCTATTTTTTTTTCTATTGGTTCATTTGTCTGTTCATTTGTCCTGGATTATAATTTGGTAATGCACAACTTCTCAGAATATGACTCCTATTCCAATTTTGTAGCATGTACGTACTGCATAAAAAAACATCACTCTTTAAAATGTGCTTTTTATGCCCATTGAATAGTAGCTTATCGCACTCACAAGACAAACTGTACAATTCTGGTAAAATACACGGCCTTCAATATCTGAAGTGTGCTAATGTAACCTTGTATTTAGTATACGTATTTAGTATGTGTGACATAAAACGGCAGAATAATCCTTAAGAGGAGATGCTAAAAGCTCTTGTGACTAAGCCCGAGTCTGGTGCAGTAGAGGAATACAAGAACAAGCTGCTGAACAAGGCTTGTCATCTTTAACGCTCGCGCTCAGAGGAGGAGGCTGCACTGTGCCAACAAGCCCCACATTCAACAACAGGACAGGCGCCTGCTGCATTCTGCTGTATTCTGCTGTCTTAAAGGTGGCAGGGGTGGAACATAGTGACATCCTTATCTCCAATATGGAAATTACATTGTCTCTCCTTTTTCCCCACATTTTCTACTGTTAAACACATGATTAATGAAAATATTACAAATTAACAGCAGTAGAATGTAAAGAAATGAATCGCTTACCGGTTTAAGAGACTTGACTGGAGAGGTCTGACCTGTTTAAATGGAAGAGAACAAATATTATTGGGGTTCAAACATACTCTAGATATCCATAATTTCCTATTATATGGTGAGACACTAATGTAGTTAGAAACAAACATTTAGAGACACTTTGTATGTTGCAAACAGAAATATACTCTTTAAGTAGGAAATGCCTGAAAAATACATTTTATTTGTTGTGTGGTTCTTTTCCTTCTCAGGAGGTACTTATCTCCGTCTACCATGGATGTGTTATATGTAATATTTTTTTGATTTATTTTGATTGTATAATGCATACATTGAAATAAAACAACAATGGGGAATGATTAAGACAAACAGCTTCTCCAGTAATCAGGAGAATATTTGTTTAATGCAACATTTTGAAGATGTTTTAACCCACACCCAAAAATGTATTTGGCTCCACCTCCATGTGAAAGTCAGAATCCATCAGACCTTTGAAGCTAAGCATGGTAGGGCCTGGTTAGTACTGTGATGGAAGACCTATTCTACAGTGGATCAGCTGTGGCTGTAAAGCGTGAAACTGTTGTGTCCTTCGGCAAGACACAGTGGCTGAGTGGTCAGCACTCTCGCGTCCTGGGTTCGAATCCCGGTTGGAACAGTGCCAATCTGTGTGGAGTTTGTATGTTCTCCCCCATGAATAAAAACATGTACTGGCGACCTCACTCCCATCTCTGTGTGGAGTAAGAGACAAATGCCCACAATTGTAAAGTGCTTTGTGACTCTGGTTTGTGAAAGGCGGTATATAAATAAAGCTGTTTAAATCCAATGCATTATGATGATATTTTTTTATTGTGAATCACAGTTCTTTCTTCTAATTCTATAAAAAATATTTGCCATGGAAGCGTTTCACAAAAGCTTAACTTCATCAAACAATTAGGAATAGAAGTGCCCCAGATTCTGACCAGTAGGTGGCAGTACGCACCAATTCAAAGTGCTAATACCTTAACTCTCTGTGTGAGAAACGGACCTGACCATAAGCCAATGGAAAACATTGCCATTCTGTCAGTAAACCAAATCCAAATGTTTGTTATAACTCAAGAAGGGACAATATACCCACCGCTCCGATCCTCCCCTCACTGTTAGTCTTTCGTGAAATAAGAATCAACAGTGGTTTCAGTACGGTTTACCACAGGATTCTTGGGGATATTTTATTAATCTGTTTGAAATGCTATTGGCAGCAGGAGCTATGCTTTCCCGTTAGCAGCACACGATTGCATCTTTCCATTGAGAAATTTACATCAAAATACAGGCAAAGTCTGATAAGTCCATGCAGTTTATGTGCATAACCATGACTTCATCTGGCATTTACTTTAGAAGTTACTTTAGCCATCTTGCAGCCTTTGTGCTCAACCTTTCCCCAGTTCAGATGAATAGGATTTTGGAAACGTCTTCAAGCTCTCAGCATGGGGAAATTGTCTACTAAAACGGAATAACTACATTTTTTGGCATTTTTGAAAACTCTCAAAAGCTCTTGGCCAAATGCTACTACCGGTACTTTCTGCAGTGGAGGCAAATTTAGCACTGACAAGCAAGTAATTTTTATTTACTCTTTCACAGAGTCACCATGTGTTATATAATTGTTGTGGGTATTTTTACCTCTCCATCCACACGCAGTGATGGGAGCTGGGTCAATGGGAGGCACATGCAGACCTATTGTACATGTTTTAGTGGTAGGGGGAAAACCTGAGACCGGAGACAGAGAAGTCTGGGCGTCTCTGCTTAGACAGCTACCCCCATCAACGGATAAAGTGGGAAAAAAATGGATACATGGGAAACCGGAGCATCCAGAGAAAACAAATGCAGACACGAGGAGAACATGCAACCTCCACACAGAAAGGCCCCGTCTGGAGGTGGAATTGAACCTGACGCATGAGTATTAACCACTGCGCCACTGCATGGACTATACTGCAGGATGAATGTGGACATATCCGATGAATAATTACACATTATCAGGTTTATGAAGGTGGTACTGTACGGCAAGACATCATGGTTAGAAGTTCGACACATAAAGTACGGCCTTTAACCTATTGCAACTTCAACCTTTCCACTGCAACAAATTCATGAATCAGATTCATTCCTAGAAGCGCACATGAGCCTACAACATAAAAAGGCACAGTAATTCGCCCACGCAGTAAGGCAAATAGCTAACGCAGTGAGGATGAGAGCCCCGGGAGCTCTGAACCCGGCTGACTGCTTCTGAATGGGGCGAGAAGTGAAATCCAGGCTGGTGCAGTGCAGTAAAAGTCAAAAACAAGGAAGCAGAGATGAGTTCACGATTATCTTCCGTTCCCCTGATCTCGGACGCCGCTGTCGCCCGCCACCCGACCTGAATCATCCCTGTGACGAGCCGTGACTGTCCTGCTTTGAGAGGGTTGCTGTGGAGCCAAGCATGAAATTGCTTTATTTAACATTGGGAGGACCTGTGTGACTGAGCGTTTGGTAATTCCTTTATCTGTGCTAATTTTATGCATTGTTTGTGGTGCGTTATGAGAACCTGCTTATTTAGGTGTAGATGTAGTTCCTCAGTCATCCAAGACTGGTTCAAGTAAGTGCGCAAAGTTTTAGATAGGAAAAAAATACCATTTTGAACTAGTTACTAAAATAATTTCAGTAGTATTTCAGTTACCATATTCTGCCACAGCATAATAAACAAACCTTTCTCAAAGGCCTATACCCAATATCAGTTCTTGGACCTAATCATAAGAACCACAAAAAGGTAAAAATGATATTTTCTATCTCAGCATAACCACTAAAGCAAAGAGATACAGTTTAACAGGAGTGTAAACGAAGCCTTACCCCCTCGGAGCACCAGCACATGCACCTCACTGCCCACGGGGAGGTCTTTGAGGATGTCCACCACCTGTGAGTGGCTGAGCGTCTGGACATTCTGTCGGTTTATCTCCTTAATGACGTCTCCCTTCAACAGCCCACGGCACCACTGTGCGTCTAGGATCATCTTGACCTTCTGCCCCAGGGGACAGTCTGCGATGGCAAAGCCGAAGCCTCCGGGGCCTTTGACTAGCGGCACGCTGACCAGCTCCGGCTGCAACAGTGTGGGGTCAGGCCCGTCGCTGTGAGGAGGGGTGTGGTGGTGGGAGTGGTGGTGGTGATGGCGCCCTCCATTGGTCATGGGAGCAGACTGTCTGGACAGAGTTCCTCCATCAATGTTGCTGTAGCCAGGGTCCTGGGGCGTGGAGCTGGGCGAGGGAGAGGTGTCCTTGGAGGTCACCTGTCCTGAGGACTCCTCATTGTTGCTGTTGTCTTCTGGCAGAGGGTACCCCCGGCACAGAACCATGTCCACATACTGGTTTATGGGGATGGACTGGAACATCTGCACCACATCTGCATGAGTCTTCCCCAAAACACACATGCCATTGATGTCCACGATCACATCCCCTGAAAGGATCAACAAAATACAACTATTAAACTCAATATTATATGCTGCACTTTAATTTCAGCGCATAGGTATTGATATAAATATTTCCATATTATTGGGTTTGGGTTATAACCCTAGAAATACACAGAGGAGCTGAAGCGTGTGTCTGGCCGCAGCTTTTCATCTCCTCTCTATAAAGGAGCAGCACACACACTCCACTTGGGTCAAATCGCCGTAGATGGCCTGAAATGCTGACTGTGGACTGGCCCCGAGCCAGACTCAGCCCACCTACACACGATCAATAGACTGTGTGCAAACGCAGCTGCAGTATCTCTCCTGAAATGAGCTCCGTAACACACGCTGAGGCCAAAAACCACACACTTCAGGTCCCTAGAATCAAACCTGGTCTTGTAAGTAGTTAAAGTTTATACATTACTTTCTGTGAAACAAATTCCCTCAGTTTCTTGGCGAACAAGACAATAAAAATGTGTAAATTATTTAATAAACTAATCACCTGCAGCTCAGCACACAATACCAGAGCATATGAATGTTTCAGTAGAAGAATTGTTTTAATTTAGTGATGCTTAAACCTCATATTGCACAGTCCCATTAAAGTGTTTGGGCAATAAGTGATGAATTAATAAAAATCAATCATACAGTATATATAGTGATTTTTTTTATATATATATGCACATTTGCATAGTACAACACTATAACAACCAAGCCACAGTAAAAGCAGTTTCATGTTCCACAATGTAAATAAAATATATTATTTATTAATCATTATTATTATTACCTGACGCAATCTTTTTGTCGTGCGCTGCAGGCCCATCTGGCAGTACGTTCTTGACTTGGAGAAACTCATCAGGCCGATCTCCTCCAATGATGGTAAAGCCGAAGCCCAGGGTACTTTTCCTCAGAGACGTGTGCAGCATGGAGCCATGGAGCTGAGAAGGGTCCCTCGTGAAGCCCCGGGGTCCCACAACGCGAGGAGCTGGCTCTTCTGAGGAACAACCACAAAAATTCAGATTTTAAGTGTTGTTATTTTCAAGTCACCGTCCATGTGAGGTTCAAGGGACATCACATCAGAAGAAGCGTGTTCATTATCTGCACAAATGTCACATACAGTTGGAACAAACTAAGCCACAACTAGTATACAATCAAATATATAACGGGACAAAACTGTAGATATCAGCATGGAACTCAATAGTGTGAAGGTATCCTAGAAGTTTACTGTAACTATAGACTATATAGGAATGGACAGTGCTGCTAACATATAGTATATGAAGTCTAAGGGGAAAAGTTTTTCTCCTGCCCACTTTAGATTCCATTCACTTTCAGGGTTAGGCTAACTGTTCAATGTGACTTTCTGTTCTGGCGTTAAAAATATTGAGTAACCACTCTACATGTCCCAGGTGTTTTTTATTCAATATTTTGATATTGTTTTTGTGAATCCAGATAAGTCTTCAGTCACAAAATTCGGCTTGGGAGTAGGTCGAATGGAAAGTCCAGTTGAAGACATAGGAGATTTTGTCTCAATATTCCGACCCAAGGAGCCTGTTTGAGTTAGATTGGCTTCTTTGTAATACTCTTGGAAAGTGATGCTTGTTTCAAAAGTGCACTCTAACTTTTTAATGACTAACATCAAGTTACAGGCTCGATCTTTGGAGTCTTCATAGATCCGGGGATAGTCAATTCTTACAAAACAAGTAACCAAATCTTTAAACATGATGAACTATCACTGAATAAAACTCCAGGGAAATGTAATTATTATTAAAGAAAGAATTATTTAAAAGAAATCACCCATTATTTTCTGCTCTGATCAGATAAACAAAAATTAAATCATAAATCCCAAAACAAGCTATTTGAACAGGGTCCTCTGTAAACATTGCTTTGGCAATCCTTAAGTATGTGGGCAGAAGTTGTGATCTCAACTCAGCAGTGAGAAAATGTAGTGAGAAAACAATATTTGGGGTGAGGAGAAACTGATGGGAAAAAGACAAGACTGCAAACATACATTTTCATCAGTTTTCATCATTTCAGCCCCCCACTGTGACAGCCCGCCACTCACACCTCGTAATTACACCGTCAAAGTCAACCACTTTGCTATCAACATGCAGCTATTGCACAAAATCAACATGTATTCGACTGTGCAGGCAGCAGCAACTCTCTTGGGTTTTAAATGTTAAAATAGACTTCAACAAATAATAAATAAAAGCATTTTTCAGTTCAATCTTTGTCTTTTCACAGTGTAAATCATTCAATAGTGATATGCACTTGACATTTCAACGGTAAAGTTTTCTTTTAACATTTCCTACGTGCTACAGGATGTTTAAATGGAGCAACTTTATAAAGGCTGAGGAAAGAATTATAATAGACAGGGCTTATGTGTGAGTGAAAAAGAACAGGATTAGAGTCAGACAGACAGGTAAAGTTATTCTGTTTGACTTGATGGAATGAGGGAAAGTCTTGGCATTTTTAAAATGCTCTCTTCGGCCTCGGATTATAAACTTTGTACTGTAAACATCAAGGATTTGTTTTAATGCGTGAGTGAATGCAAAAGGTAAAAACGTATACATATATATACACTTATAATAATAATAATAATAATAATAACATATATATATAGTAAATAACATATTTGTATGTATTCATATAATAGTGAAATTAACTTTTAATACAGATTCATTAGTCATTTAAGTATCTTTATCATACCTAATGCGTTCGATCCCCACCGCTTCAAAACGCAATACTGAACAATATATAAAAATGTCTGATAGCCATAGCTGTCCATTGGTAACATTGTATTATGTAAGTATTGTGTTTAAACAGGCCACTCGGGCTGGGTCCATGGATGTATCACATTATCTGGATAGGTGGACGCTAGCTCGAACTCGTCTCCAGCATGGACAAAGGAGTGGGGGCCGTTTAGGACATCTTCCATGGACCTCAAAGTTAACTAAAACAGACAGATGTTTTGGGAATTTTAGTGTCTCTTGTAATTCTTTCTTTATAGTTTTCGTGTAAAGTTTGTTTTAAACAGTCCAATGCTCCTGTGAAACCACACTGCTGCTGTGTGATCGCTGTCCCTGAGTTGACTGCTGCATACGTCATTTCACTGACGTAGGCCCATGACGCGTCCTGTGACTGGTCTGTCGGGTTGATAATGGAAATAATAAATTCAATTTAATGCATGTATCGTACTGTATTCAATATGATTAACAATAGTGTGTGCAAACGAAATATTTAATTAGATCGAGTTTTTCCCCATTCTGGCGGGTTTCTGCGCATGCGCAAGTCAGATTTGGGCACACTAGCAGTGTAGTTTCACAGGAGCAGTGGACTGCTTAAAACAAACTTTACACGCAACTCTTACTCTTAAAACACACATATCACAACGCGGAACATCAACATCTCGCCTCAAATTGCATTAAAAGTGACATTTGTGTCTTATGTCGTTCGTATTTTATATATGGTTCTTTTATATAACTGTGGTCCTCCATGGTTCTTTTATATAACTGTGGTCCTCCATGGTTCTTTTATATAACTGTGGCCCTCCATGGTTCTTTTATATAACTGTGGTTCTCCATGGTTCCTTCTTCCAACTTGTGAAGGCAAGGTGAAAGCAACGATATCAGTAGCTCATGTGAAAGGAAAACCCGATACTCGCATCCTTTTTGTCCCTTATCCACCACCGTTTTCCAAGATGGCGCATTGACACGGATAGTCCTCCGTAATACAATTCAAAAAACATGGTGGAGGTAAATATTCTTAAAAGGTCACATTTGTTATTAGTTAACATGTTTTTTCATATGGAGCAGCAGTAAAAATTACACAGGGTGGCTTTAAAGCCTGCCGATATGTTATGCATCTCTACACTGGAGTTTTCATTTTCCATTGTATTTTTGATAAGGTGCAGTAAAAAATAAAGACAATCGGCCCCTTATCTAATGCTCCGCCCCATTTTTAGAAGAATACAACACTATTTATGTATTCATATTCAATGTATTAAATCATAAATGCCTTAATGTGGGCCTCCCAGAGGTTTCTCACTTTTCCCACTATGTTTTGGAGTTGTTCCTTCCCCATGCAAGAGGGTCTAAGAACAATAGTGATGTACTTTTAGTTTTTTTTTTTTTCATCAAGGACCTACCATTTATTTTGATGCTGAATTGATTGACCAAACAGAGACTTCAAAGCACTACAATTTCCTGTAATGTTCTTTTTATTATATTTTATTCATTCATGCAGATTGGTGTAGCACTGTATCCTACAGAAATTTTCCCTTGGGACAATAAAGTTTATCTTATCTTATCTAGACCCACAACATTTAAGAACATCTATGTTTCTGGACAGTGGTCATCCCACGCTCTTTGGACCAAAGGTACCCATGTGTTTGTTATCATTGTTCCTGTGTTGGATCTGTGTTGGCGAATTGCCAACTTTGTTAAGTCCTCTGAGACAACTACTGTTGTGATTCCCTTTAAATAAAGATCAATGTTTTTATTAACCTAGGACTATCGTCACTGCATACATGATCTATCTTCACACTTATGAGGTAACAAATCCTAGCCATGTAGGCGGTATAATGAAAGCGTCATATGATATAAAAAAGGTGTAAAAAAGGTGTCCCACCCTGATCCCTGCATTCCATATGTACAAACCGACAAGAAGCAGTTCTGAACTGCAAGTCTATGAAAGTATGAGCTATGTGCCACTAAACGCTCCACTGCAAGTTCCCACAGTGAAATATGAGGGGACATCAATCTCATTAAGCAGCCGCGCACTGCCCTGCCTCCATTTTACTCAAACACTACTCGCGATGTGTCATGGGAATGTCATTTGCATAATTGGGCCGCTACAGGCAGACGAATGCCACCGCACCGGAGGGAGAAAAGATCACGCCAACTATAATTATCATGTTAGTTTTAGCACAGTGCATTAAAAAGCTTATAGGAGTGGTGACAACGGAAAACAACATTACAATAAATTAAGACATGTTGGGGAATTCTCTGAAAAAAAGAAAATAATCAAAATACATTACCTTTCTAATAACTTTCCATAAAAAAATCTAAATATTGTATCTTTGCATTGTTATAGCATCGGACACCAACATTAGCTCTTTTTTATAGGCCAATTATTTGTTAGATCGTTGTAGCGTGTTTTATTTATGTAGTGCCATAAAATTGGAATAAAAATGTTTACCTCTTCTCATAAAACAGCATAATTGGTTTCTTTTGTTCGCCTGCGACCGAATATGCAGCAGCTTTCAACATCACATTTTCACTTCTGTCGGAAGAGGTAGGGCAAAGCGCAATATTTATTTGATTCATAGTGATATTTGGTAAGTATTGTGATGCATTACATTAAGTATTACGATTAAATATCACAAGGAACTGCAAGATTGAGCCTGAACGAAATAGAATTTACAACTCAGTCAGTGTATAAAGGCAAAAAAGCACAGAGATTGTGAGGTTAAAATGTTTATCATTCTTTAAACCAAGCAGTGAAGTCATGGTTAGTTCTATACTATCATAATGGCACCAACACATCTTGTAAAATAAAATTAATATTTGTTTTTGTTTTTAGAAATTATGTATGTGTGATGTATGAATACGTCAATTGGTTCCTGTTTTTAAGGGTGAAATAAATAAATCCAACTTTACTTCAATGTGTGTGTAAGTTCAGTCCTTGATGTAAAGTGAAATCCAGTCAAATCAGAATGCACTTTCCTTAAAATAACAATATTGTTCAGTCTTGTATTGTAAGAAAACCGTATCAAGCTTTAAGCCATAAATGTATTTTCTATGATCTCATTCTTTTGCTTTGAGTTTCATGTGAGGAATCTTACTTACTTACGAGTATTGGGAGACGGTTTTCTTTCTTTTTTTTTTTTGCCATGAAAGGTCTAAATCTAATCTTGAAGTCCTGTGTCTTCAGCTCACAAATCCCCCCCCCCCCACACCCTGTCAAACGTCTGTCAACACTGCGTCTTAATGTGGCCACTGTAAACGCCACAGTGATGGACAGGAGTGAAGGAGGAGGGCAGGAGCCGGGAGGGGACCACGGACCCACGCTCATGTTTACATACGCATGATTAAGCCGAGGACTGAAGAGAGGCCGTGTTTTCTCTGAGGGACACGTGGTAATGGGAAATGTCACCAGGGATTGTCAGCGTGGTAATTATGGCCGAACTAAATGGTGTTTGCATGGTGCTTTTGTCACCATGTGCTCTGCATGGCTAAAGAGTGTTGGGACTAATAGATTTTGTAGTGTGTTGCTATGTAATAATCATGGTATTTATCAGAAGTGACCTGAGAGAAAACAACATCTTTTTTTTGTTTTGAGTCAAGTTCAGTAGCAACCAGCCACATCAGTACTACAAAAGTTGACGTCTTATTAATCTGTCGATAGAGCTTGTACAGTATGTTGACCAGTCCAGTTTATCATACAGGTGGACTGTCAGGTATTAGCAAAGCTGGACCCCTTCAATTGCTGTCGCTCCAGTCCGAGAATGCAGCCATCAGCCACAGCGGTATGATGTAGCAGAGTTGTGTGCAACGGCTGCTGTGTAAACTGAAGAGGAATGGGGCCAGAGCGTTACCCTGTGGTGCTCCTGCATTGCTCACCACAGTTCCAGACACGCTCACCGCTACCCTGACCTGAACCCACAGTGAGGTAGCTGCAGATCTAGTCGGTAAAAATAGGATTCACTTTGATCTTCAGAAGTTTCTCCCTCAGTAAGAGTGGCTGGATGTTATAAGAAGCACTGGTAAAGTAAATTCCAATATCAAGATGCATGTTTCGTAGTTCACTAAAATGATGCAAGCATATAGTGTATGCATTATATTGTTCATTACACATCGAGTTTGCATGTTGAAAAATATAGCTCTCATCAAATGTATTATAATAACCTCCGCTCAGCAGGTTAGATGATCACTGGTGTTCATTTGTGAGAGCAACATAAATATCTATTACTGAGCATATCAACATAACTTGCATAGAAAAAAAACATGTTGATCTATACTTATAGGGTGGGATCGATCATACCAATAGTGTGTGTTTAGAAAGTACAAGAAACCCATAACCAGTGAAATTGCATCTGACCTTTCTATACCATGAGGAGAAAGTACAAACCATTAATACAATTCAAGAAGACACTTCGCAATATGGCCGAGTCAATGCGTGGAGGCTTCCTTATTGTGTGCCCTGTGCTGTTGTGTAAGGGGGTCAGGGCTTGTCAAAACAGAACACCGGCCATCATTAGTTTTCATTAACCAGACCTGAATATGAGCGCAGGGGGGACAGAGCCAATATGAGCCCGGCACCGCAGAGGGAAGTGGCAGCCAATCTAGTGAGTGAAATACACAGGCAGGACGCTGCAGGAGTGTGCTCATGTTTGCCTGAGTGTCACCATAATGGCCCATAATTCACGCGCGTTAGGGGAATGTTAACTATAAAGTGGCCCCCCATTTGTCCTATTGTCCACTACTGGGCACGCATACAAGATACAGTAAAGAGCGAGGGGAAAATAAGCCTGGCATGAAGTGAGATAGACTGTATTGCCAGGGAAAAAACACAAAATGTTCACATACATTCGTACTTCTGTCCAGTGGAAAGAATATGGATCTCTGCAAGAAGGTGCCAGCTAACTTTTTCGCTTCAGGCACCTGCTTTTACAAAAGATGGGTACACTTTAGTTCTAGCAAGAAAATTATTCATGATTTTTTAGTGATGGAAATAATTCATGGAGTTTGGGTATGGATAGATGCACAGATGCACATAAAAATATATATATATATATTATTGAAAATGCCTATATTAGCGCACCAAGGAAGATTTAAGACATGGATGGATTGGAAAACTTGTTTCAACTTTATGCATGTCTCACCATATGTCAACCATGTCCTAGGTTCGATTTCACATTCAGTCCTTTTGGTTTGGAGTTTGCCTGTTCTCTCTGTGTCTGTGTAGGTTTTCTCTGGGTGCTCCGGTTTTCCAAAAACATACAATTGTCCCTGTAACACTCTTCCTGACCCCACTCCCACCCCCTCTCTCTCAGTGGAACATTCCTGCTTATATAAAAGGTCAGTAATAAAAGAATTTCTTTCACAAGCCCATTCCAGTCCACAAGCTCTTTTTAAAGGGGGTGAACTTATACTGTACGATTTCCATTGGACTAATCATACAAGTATCTGATATTCACTTGCTTAACCCTACTGCTCAAACTGTACACCATATACCAACACCAACACCTTTCTCTGTAGCATTGGAAGCATGCGCCGTGTGAACAACAAGTGGTGATCAAAAGAAAACATGATCAAAAGAAAACATGACCAATCACACATAAACAATTGGATTTTAGGTAGCGTGTCTCCTCTTTCCCCTTCACTGCTCTCCTCTAACATGCCTTTGAACTCACAAAGCTTTTCAATATAAACCTCAGTGCCCGGCCTGCTTTATATGTACTTGTCAAAATGAATCCCCCCCAGTTGTACGTGTGCCGTGGATCCATTATTCAAATTGAAAATCGTTGCTTCAGGGGCTATGTGCAGTTCATCAGCGGCCTGTCGACTATCCGGCCATCTCCCGCCATGACGGTGCCCCATTAAGAGAATGATGTAAGCGCAATACTTTGGGGACGTCCCAGCTAAAGCTACACATCTGGAACAATTAACAGACTCTTTAAAATAATGGGAAATTAGTGGTGAAACTTGTAACATAGTGGTAGTTGTACAATTTTCCGATTTGATACAGAAATTCAGCAATGCTATATAGACCCATGTTATAATATGTGGTTTGTATAGAAATAATAGAAAATGGCTTAAAGGAGCAGTATGTAAAAATCCAGGCAATCTCAAGTTGCCAGATATGCAGACGAAGCCAGCTGGGACCATAATATCTGAATAGAGAGTTTTGTCAACAACAAATCTATAACAAACATCTTTTTCACAAAGATGTCCTGGTTTTATTCCTTGTTTTGTCATTAATTAATTTGAGAATCATAACAAGACCTTTTTTAGAACAGCGGCCACATGTTACTTTACCAGTGACATTAGCTCAACGCGGTGAGTTCTGGCGCCAGTATCACGGACTTTCTGATTGGTGAAACGGTGGAGGGCGGGACATTGAGATGAAAACAATAACAAGATTTAGGGGCTGTAAAAACTATTTTTGAAATCCAAATATCTCGGTTGAACTACTGTTATGAGTTAAAGAAGTATTTGAAAAGAGCATGTTTTATTAATGCCTTTTGAAATAATATTGGGCCATTTAATGAGGACTCCACATGAAAATCTTTCATATTGCTACTTTAACAATACATTATAACATCACAACCAGTTCCACTGTTTATAGATGAATTAAGTTTAAAGAAGAAAGTCTTGTGGATCAGTCTGCTATTTATTTATGATAACCATGAACCGTTCTTCTATATTTAAAAATCAAATTAATTGTCATTGATTTAGTAAATGTTACAAACTGTTACAATATTATCCTGGAAGTCAAGAAGCTCCTGATTCAGTATGTAATAATGTGAATTGAAAAAGCAGCATTTCATGGTGAAAGCATCATTTCTTATCAACACCTGGGTGGTTATTGTTCAATGAGGCTGTGAATCAAAGTGAAAGCCGACTTCCTGACAAATATGACTTGTGTGTGTCATAACCTGGTGGTGCAGCTGCTGGAGACACCATCCCTGTAGGCGTGTCACCGCTGGTCCTCCTCTTAGCCTCCATCACCGGGTTTTCAAACTGAGTCTTCTGGTTTATATGGCTGAAAAAGGCAAATCAAAACATGAAACACAGTATTATTAACTGATAATATTAGTTAATCACATTTACTGTCTCCCATGCTTTCACACCCAGAGATGACATGTGCGCTGCTGATACTGATCTGTGCTGAGAATGCAAACGTGTTATTTGAATATAAGGGCTGGGACACCGTAAACAAAAAACTGACTTTATGGATCACAGATGTTCGGGAGAAACTCAATGTGCTCTCTTGGAATTGTGCATCAACTTTAGTGTTGTGTGTGCAAAGTATAAGAACCAAAGGTGAGGATGTAGGAACACGTTGTTAAGCAGCAAATATAGGTCTACTGTAGGATTGTAGTAAGAATAAGGTACAAATCAGTGGTGGTAAAAAGTAACAGATTAATTCTAATAAGGCTTCATATACAACAAATTAAGTAATATATCAATCAAAATGACAATAATTTGTAGTCAGAGGCAGTAGCTAGTATAGTAGTAGCGTTTGTACTGTATGAATCCACTTTTTGGAAAGTTCTAACAGATCATTTTGAATTCAGACTTTAGATTTTAGACTAACAAACGTCACTGCAGTATTTCCCAATTATAGGATCAATGTCTTCTAAATGACTCATACTCTGGCTCTCCAGTGACAGCTGTATAATCTGAAAGGCCTGTCTCAGATGGACAGTGTGAGGGGGATTAGTGATCGCTCCAAACAATGAATGACTCACGGTCACACCTGGGTAGTAGCGCCGCTGCAGCACCACTGCAGCGATTACTGACAATAATATGGACAAGAATACATATTTTAGTGTAACTGCGGCTATATTACTGCTACATATATTACAGTATAGTATTATATATATCGTTTTTACAAGCTGTGCGCAAATTACTCCCTTCTCTCTGTGGAGTGAGAGACAAATGCCCGTAACAATTGTAAAGCTCTTTGTGACTCTGGTCTGTGAAAGGCGCTATATAAATAAAGATTAAATATCACACACATTAGTTTCACATTGTAACATGAATTACAGAAGTTTTTTTCCTGTACATTATGAAAAGATCTAAAACATACAGAAGAAATCAAAACCAAAATAATAGACCCCCGCATCTCATTTCCTGTCATACATCCTTTCAATGAATTAGTTTCAATGAATGATACGATAGAACACCCAATCATTGTTGAAGCTGTGTGAATCACTTTGTAATATAGACAATAGAAAAAGCCCTCCATAGCAGCACCTTGGGACCACACAGAGCATCGACGCCTCCATTTGAAAGTGCCTCCTGCTGCGGTTCTGGATTTGAGAGGAGTCATCCCAGAGTCCTCCTCCCAGTTCATTCTGCACTGATAAACATTCCCCCCGTCTCATTTCCTCCTCTCGCAAAGTCGTGCTGAACGATCCAACTAATAAATTATGACACTTTAAGCTTTAAATATATAGAATGAAATAAAAATAGGAAGATATTGTTTTCAGACATTATTTAACAAAATGTACAGGTTAAATGTTAGAATATTGTTCAAAAGTCCATTTAATTCTGTAATTCAATGTACAAAATGGAACTAATATATATGGCCGGCGCTTTACATTCCAAGTAAAATATATCAAGCATGTATGTGTCATAACGTTGATAATTCGCTCACAGTAGTAAAAACCCTTAAATAAAACATCAGAAAACAGAAAATTGTAATGGTCTGTAAACCGTAATCCTCAACATTATGATTGGCGGATGTCACTTTGAGTCTATCAAATACTGGTTTCACATTTTCAGTGTAATTACAGACATAAACAAAACACTATTCTGATTTTTGCTGTACAATTGTTGTTTGGAGTAGGAAAATATGCATATTCCATTTGTTTTGCGTTTGCAGAGTAATATTATACATCTTTCTAGTGGCATTTTAAACTGTTAATAATCTGATAAAAAATATAATAGTGTATGTAGAAGGACTTGAGGTGGCAAATACAACATTTTTAAAAATCAGTTTTGGACTGCTGCCTTAAAAATATAAAACAAAGGTCACGTATATAACCAGAGTTCTATGCACCGCCCTCTGGAGGTCAGGAGGGATGAAATAGAACCTTTTATACTCATTGTTGCCGATCGCCCACTTGTTGCCACAGGATTTCTGCACAAAATCAACCTAGAAGCCATATTACCTTATCTGCAAAGGAAAGGTTGCATTTAATCTACATATTTTCTACATTCAAATACAGTCTTTGCCATTTGCTGCCGTGCAAAATTGCGATTTTGATGAATTAACAAGTCAGACTATTCTCGTGGGTGGAGAATAACAAGGTTATGTAGCGCACTGTCACATCGAGGAATTTATTTTCAACAAAGAAATATATAGAGAAGGATGCAGCCTACTTTGACCCGGTTACATAAGTGCCCACCCTCTGCAGGTTTATCCACACTAATGGGACTAACTCAAACATTGGGTTGCTGTTTATACGTCTGATCAGGGCGGACTGGTGGCCTAATTTTACCTCCTGTTTTATAACAAAGAACAGACCGATGGCACTGTCGGGGCTGAGAGTGATTTGTTTCACAGCGTGGGAAAGCAAGAGATGCCCCATTAGGACATGCTCAGGGCCAGTGTAAATATCCACACTACGTCTGCGTGAGGAATCATTAACAGCTCAGAATGGGCCTATTGTGCACCGTGTCCCCAATATTCTGGACCCATGCTCAACTCCTGAATTATTGAAGTCTTATTCTCGGTTATAGCAGTAACTGGATGTAAGATGTAAAAATGGCCACAGAGAAGATGTGCAGATACTATATAAATACAATTCGATTGATTGATTGGCATTAGGAATATTTTTTTTTTTCCCCAGTATGGATTTTTTTTATTTTCTATATTTATTATGGTTTCCTGACTGGGCAGTAAAAAAGAGATTGAAGTAGGAACTAACTACACACCCAAACTTCACTATCCACACTGCCCCACTGCAGCTCATCTGCCTGGCAAACCTCTCCAGAAGGCTTTTTGAAAAATCAGATTTACAAGCCATTCCATAGACCTCCTACTGTGGAGCAGCGGGTCTATTCCCAGCTCCTCATCCTTATTTTAAATGATTCTGCTGAGGATACCCAGTTTGACCACTTGTTTTTGTGATCTTATCCTTTCCTATTCGTTGGCCTTTCCACAGTCAGCATAATTTGAGTGTTTGATATTACTAATTCACACAGTAGTTAGTTATACATTGGGAAAGATAAACATTAGCAAAAAATAAATGTGACGACATTGCATCAGTTACTTGTAAATGTGAACTTGTTGAAAACATGACAATAAATAATAACAATGAGTTCAATTCCACTGAACCAATTATTAACTATGAATAACAAAGTAATTTGCAGTCAACCCGTTTTTCTAGCACATAATACTTTAAACAAATTAGGACAAATATAAATGATCCTAGTTTAGAAAGCATTCACAAATGTTTCGAAAAGATGAATGAAGCCACTGTCTGTATCAGGCCATTTCAGAACATAACGCAATGTCGCCACAATGGGTTTGGATTTTCATGTCCTGATCAAAAAGCCCTTCCAGGAGACAGCGGCACGGTGGCTGAGTGGATAGCACTCTCGCCTCTCAGCAAGAAGGTCCTGGGTTCGAATCCCGGTCGGACCAGGGCCTTTCTGAGTGGAGTTTGCATGTTCTCCCCGTGTCTGCGTAGGTTTCCTCCGGGTACTCCGGTTTCCCCTACCACTAAAAATATGTCCAATAGTTCTGGCATGCGCCTCCTGTACTGGCGACCATCTCTGTGTGGAGTGAGAGACAAATGCCCATAATTAACAATTGTAAACCGCTTTGAGACTCAGATCTGCAGTGAAAAGGCGGTATATAAATAAAAACTTACTTACTTACTTACTTACTTACTTACAGCAATTTTCTTCGAATCATCATTATGAAACCAGATTTCTTGCAGAAAAACAAACAATATAAACTCCCACATGTTCTGGATGTTATAGAGAACTGTCAGTCATTATACCTATGGACATATTCAAATATTCATATATACAGTACAGACACAATCGATTGAGTTAGAGTTACAAGCTGAGGTCTTCATCATCCCCAGGTGGGAAACAGCACTGATGTAAATCCTGTTTTTTGTTCAACCTTTATTTGAATAAAATATATTTTTTTGAAAGTGTGTCCCAGTAACTATGGCAGGGAGGTGTTACAATCCATTAGAGGACAAACGCAGTTTACTCCTCTCGCCGGGCAGATCTAGGTTCTCTCTACCGACTCTTGGATTGGAGTCAAAATGCCAACGCTGAAAACTCCAGGTGACTACTTTTGAAACCTGTATTTTTATGAAGGATATGTTCCAACGTGGACTTTAAAATGCAGACCTGGAAACTATCAATATTAAATATGGGGTGGGATATGCCATAAACCTCTTCGGGAGGTCTCCAACGCCATCCGGAACAGATGTGCGGGCAATCCCTGACGGTTCCTCTTGAAATGCGTAGCAGCAGGTTCACCCCAGGCTCTTCCCATGTGACCAATTTAAATCAAACGCATTTTGAAGACTTCCCAGACATTAGTAATCGGCCAAGATTTTGCCAATATCCACATATTTCTGTTTAACTCATTGTAAGTTAAACATCATCTGAAATCATACAATTCACTTTTTTTTTTACAATTGATGAGCGTGAACAGTCTGCAAAGATCATGCAGTAGCCATTGAGATCAATGTTCACAATGTCATCCAGCCAATTTCACAACCATACATAAAGGCATTAGCTTTTAAGTGCTTTGCAAAGGAAACAGTAGTAGCGGTTAGTTTGTTAGCATCTTAATTATTGGGGACAAATGTTATTTATGTGTGTCTCATTTTAATAATTTAATTTAATTTGTGTATTTATTCAATTTGTACATGCTGCATCAGAGTCAAATTATTATTTACTTATAATATATGTAAGTGTTTGAGGCTATTAAATATCAAACAAAAGGTTTTGACATACATGAATAATAAAAATTCACTAAATCTGTTATCGGCATAATATAATCTATAATGATTTACAAGTATTTCATTTAAGTATTGCTAGATTTTGAGGTTGTGTGGACGATTTACTCACTCGACGTAGTAGGTTCCATACTGAGGGTCTTCGATTCTCTCCCAGCCGTAGGGCAGCTCTGACGAGAGGGAGAGGAACGTTACACACACATAGATAATGAATTATCATTCAACCCAATCACCGTTTTATCAACACGTTTTATTAAATCACCATTAAATACAGTGAATCATCCCACTCATTCACAGGCATTTGGAAATATTCAGGCAGTGGCATTCTGAGGGAACAATAATATGTTAAGATTTGAACCTGTGAGTCTAAATCTTCCCATTCAGACAGCCACTCCAGCGGAACATTCTAAACCTGGGGCTGGATTCACATCGATTCTTCACTAGCTTCAGAAAGGACTAGATTAAATTTTTTTTCCTCAATCTTGAACATTTTCTCCTTAATTTTTGTGTGAAGATGCCACTGTCAGAATGAGCAATTATAAATAAATGCAATTTCTAATCATAAAGTTTTAATAAAATGTCAGTAAATGGCAAATTGATCAGATGTTTTCTGTGCGTGCGAGTGTTAAATGCAAAAATTGGAACTTAAAAATCGGACAAAAAAGAACTTTTATCGTTTTTCATTTCTAAAGAACCACACCCTCATGCTGCTCACATGTACAGTAGTTTCATTACTGAATATTTGAACGGCCAGATTAATTGACTCACTACCTTCATGTTCTTGCACTAAAGTGTATTAAAGATTACAGATATTTGCATTTTGGTTCTTAAAACCAAACATTTAGCATTTACTTAACCTTACTACTTATCCATACATCGCTTTGGCTTATTCTTCATCATATTTGTAACAATTGGTGATTCATAAAAAAGGTACATACAAATATATATATATATATATATATATATATATGTATATATATATATATGTATATATATATAAATATAAAAAATGATTGAGAAAGACAATAAAAATTGTCTTTCTCACTACACTGCAATTCTGACATTGAGACATCCCGATTGGCGTCGCTGTGCACAATCTCCCCCCATCTTAAGTGGCAGCGTCCCGGTGTGCACCGTCACACCTGGAGGGCACTTTTATTTGTCACTATCGGTTTAGGGCTTAACACCCACTTGAGGAGGAGGGCTGCGACCAAGGCAACTGCTGAGTCTGTGCGCAGCTTTGTGGGGAAAATAACATCCTTTCACTCCAGCGGCTGAAGCAACATCTTGAGTTTCCAATGTCGCGCGACCGACCCATGTGGCGCAGGGGAGGTTTTTACACAACCGCAGAAAATTGCCCTTTAAGAGATGGCGCACTGACGAGCTCTCTGTGTGCGCCTCCAAAGACATTATCAAGACAGGGAACAAAGTAGGTATGTGCTACAATAAAACGGCTTCATAATTTCATAGTGCAAGAGAAAGCTGTGTGTAAGTGTGTGTGCGTGAGCTTGCGTGTGCGTTTGTGCGTGCATATATATGTAATGGGACAAAGAAAGAGAAAGCATGCATATAATGTAATGAAGGCAAATTGAATGTCATCTGTAGATCAGTGCAACCTTCAGAAGGGAACATAAGTATATAAAAACTGTGGTGAAAGCAAGTGTGCATGTAAGGGGAATTAATAATAAATCAATACTAAAAGCTTTAAGGGTGAACAAACTGATAACCTCCTGGATCCAAAGAGAGCCATTTTTTTTTTACAAATACATGTAGGCCCTTTATGGCCGACTAGTGCAGAATTCACCATTTAATATTGTTGTGCTAAGTTTGTGATAAATACTACAGATTCAAAAGACAATTCGTTTCAGTTGAACTAATTTTGCCTTACCTCCTTCTTCACACTTCTCGGGGGGCTTGGCCTTCCTGGTGAGCCGTGGGTCCAGCCATGTGGTGGTCTTAGTGTTGTGACTAAAACACAGGCAGAGAAATAGCTTTAGGTTCTCCACCATCTTTAACAGCAATTGTGATTCAGCTATCATCATGGGGGCTCGTTACCCAGAAGTTGTCTCTAGAGCTGCCCTGCAGAAAAAGAGCTGACTCACGATACAAGTATTTACTGGGGAATGATGTATTTGTTCTGGTGTTGGATCTGCAACAGGAGATGGAATTGTTGCTCACTCCTGGACTTCTTGGATTGACAGGTGACACCCCTACTCCCCTCCCCATTGGTTTTGTCATCCCGCTCCTTTATTGGTGCTGGTTATGTCAACAAAAGGAGACTATATCAGATTATTTATTTAGTTTTTAAAAAAAGAAAAAAAAGAACTATTATGATGGTAAGTTTCATTTATTCATTATTTAAAAATTGAGATCTTTCTATGTGAACTAAGAATAGAGAAATGCATGTAGGGGGTGAAGAAAAACTAAGCAATTGTACTTTCAATGAGTATTAATATCTAATGAGGGAACTGTCTTCTCTGCAAGAGCTGTTGGTCCAGTCTGTCAGGAGATGTGAGTCGATTGCATTGACACGGTTTCGACTAATATTAAAGTGATAGTCTGTAACTCTAAATGAATTAAACATTTAAGAATTGTAGTAAATTGACCTCCTGGCCTTTAATGTTGATATAAAATAAGTCATTTTATTCATTCTAATATTACAGGTAAGTCCCGCCTTCCCTTCTCTTAGCTATAGCTCAGAATCCACGATGCCGTCCACGTTAACCAATCAAGTGATGCCAAGGGCTGTCAATCATCGGCGCTCATGCGCGCATGCTCAGTTGTTTGTTTTTGCGGAGCCTCCGAATCAAGCCTCTATTAGGCTCTGGAACTACATGAAAACTGAACAAAGAATTACGCGGTGAGCTACCCATTTATATACTGAACCTATATCCATGATCAGATCCTCTGCAGATGTGTCTTATAATGTGCAATAAACGTTAATAGCTACTTCCGGGTTTGCCGCGATGCTATTTTTGTGCATGAAAACACTATTTTTTTCAGGAAAACGTTAACAAATAATTCTGAAAACCTCCGTGCATGTGTATTAATAATGTATATGTATAAGGTTCTCCCATTAACATTTAAATGTGTTATGGAAACATAGGTGTAGACCAATCAGAAAGGAAAGGGGAGGGAGCTTGCGTCGTTTTTTTCAAATCATGTACCTCTCTTTCTCTCTCTTTCTGACAAACTGCAGACAATCACTTTAAACCCCTAGTAGAAATGTGCGAAAAGAAAAACCTTCCATTCAATCTCTTAAAACTCAATAATGTCTTTCTTGCACTAAGATATTGTAGATATTATTTTTAGAGTGTACAAACACGAAACACCCGAGGTAACTTCCACTCCTCTTGGGATCAAACCGCTTTCAAAACCTAACAATGCTCAGAGAGGCCTCTAAGGAGTGAGGGACTAGCAGCAAAGCAACAGAGGAACGGAGAGAAATGAGACACAAACGAGGATTAAATGGCACAAAAAGTAAAAAACCATCCAAGCTTGAACACAGACTGAGGTCAGGGTGTAAGCTCCATTTAGCCAGTTGTTTTGCCACGGCGGGCAGAATGAGCTATTGATTTAGCAGCACAACGATAACAGAGTAAACAATATGTGCTCACCATTCGGCAACATCAAACACAGGGGAAATTAAGAGAAAAAATGTAATCACGGCCGTCGCAGAGTGCCGTAGAAGAGAGCCTCGAGGCACAGAGCTTGTCCAAAAGCAATATCAGAATGTTCTGAGAAGTATTTGATCCAGGTTGTCATATAGTGCAAGTAGCAGGGGAGGGGTGGGGCCACAGGTTGGAAATCTTTGGTTATGACTTTGCTAAGCTCTGATGGATGACTTGATGATGGCTACGGAGTTTCCTGCAATATGATGTTGAAATGGTGAGTAAGAAGAAGTCGGTTGCAAAGTACCAAATTATTGCACTCCTAAAAAAGGATGTACTTTGTAGAGTTTGCAATGGTCCAAACTTATTACTTTCTTACTTTGGGGAATAATTTGATTTTTTTTCTGTAATAGAATTTTAAAGTAGAACTTATCGGGACAAACATGGAATAAGAGATGCTCAAAATTTCGGAAACACTGAAGTGGAAGTAATGCACCTCTATCATGATGTGATCTAACTGAACAAATGCAGAAAATTCTCTAAGTAATTTGGAGGAAACTTCTTGACATTGAGGAGGGAACAATATCAAGGTAATATTAAGAAAAGGTAAGGTATGAATTTGATACAATCCTCAATTGGAATTTTCTCTTGGGAGTTAATCAAACCATGTTGTTTTAAGCTACAATATAGAGTATAAAGTCTGCAGAGAGATAATCTATTAAATATTTCAGGAACCAACTAAACACTGAACACGGTGTTTTAAAGTGTGTTCTGTCATTCATGGTCTTTAAAAACACTCAACAATATCAAAATTATTTTGAGAGTTTAGATTGGCTCCTTCACCACAATACAAGACACCAAACCGTATAAGATAATATATGTTACATCATATAATAACATTGTGGCTTGGTGTGATTGTTCAGCCAGGAATGTTTAAGTATGGCTTAAACATTGGGGAGTTTAAATAAACAAACCCAAGCTTCTGATGGAGTACTAAAGTGCCTTTTTGCAACTTTCCCCTAGAAACTGATTTCCACCTCTCACATATCCACTCTGTTGTTTTAGAAGATATTCTTGCATGTTTAAGTTAGTCTTATTTGTCTACATTTTCTTCACTTTGGTTGGTGTCAGATGATTTAGCTACATTACACAGAAAATTAATTAAAAGCGATACAGACACAGTATCAGACTGTTAGTGGAGACGAGTCCAAAAGCAAAGCTCTTTATTTTACACTCGATCTATATTCCCACCAACACCTAGGGTTATGAGCTTCGGGGAATGACTATAGGATATCTCTGGCTGGGCACCAGATATAGCGTGAGACGACATGTCACACAGAAAGAGCTTCGAGTAGGGCCGCTGCTCCTCCAGGACGACTTTATGTTCATGTCCCAAGGCCCAAGGAAATACCGACACTGGAGGGACTGCCTCTCGACTGGCCTGATATCTGGGGTCACCAGTGGGTTGCATGGGTTTGCATGTTTTAGAATATTTCTATGCATTAACTAGTTATGGTTGTACATGTCTACACACTTTGTCTGTAATGGCTACTGATGGGCTCTTTGATTTCCCCTTGTGGGATGAATAAAGTTTTTCATCTATCTATCCATCAGTCAATCCAGAAAGAATTTGCAAATCAATTCTGTAAATTGTATGTCAGTGAACTTCATTTATAGTCCTATATAGGTCGTTTTAGATCAATAGTGTAATTTGGCCCACAAATGGTCCAGAAAAAGATCTTTAAAATGGCTAAACCATTACACCAAAACAAAATTATTTTCAGTAACGCTCACATAAACTCAGCACAGAGAGGATACTCACTCTATGAAATAGACCATGCCGGTCTCGGTGTAGGCCATCTCCCAATTCTTGGGAAGTGGTTCCTGGTTTTCGTCCTCGTGGTTCCAGCCCCGGAGCTCCATAGCTGCTGCAGACTGCGTGTAGCTGGGCACCGTCTTCCTCCACTCAGCCTTCTCTGGGTGCTCTGCGGATCCATAGGGAGATGCAGACATTGGCATGGACATAGAGGCAGGCATAGTGGTGTAGTAAGGGTACGGGACATGGAAGAAGGAAAACGACATAGGTGGAGGTGAGAAGGAGAAGCCATTATTATTAGATATCCTATGAGCTCCTTGCATGTCTGTGTTCCTGCTGATACTCCAAGTGCTACTATTTCTACGACTGGGACAGCCCAATACAAGAGAATAGAGGAGAGAGAGGGGCGCCAGGCAAAAAAGGCAGGCCACGAGATTTGCATGTCAGTCGGAATGAACCAGGAACAGCCTCGAAGGCAAGAGCAGAGCTGACCAATGCATGCAACATCACAGCTCTCCTAGTATAATGCTCACTGCTATGTCTGGATGTGTGTGTGTGTGTGTGCATGTGTGTGCGAGTGAGAAAAAAAATAAGTATACAAATTGTTGACTTGTTTTGACCAGGAAACTTTTTCTACTTCCCACCTACAGTATATGTTAATTGTAATTGAATCATAATAGCATCTATAAATAAATACATAATACATCTCGAAAACACTTATTCAAAGATGGAACATTAGTGTGAGAGACCTGCCACCTACACCAAGTCTTAATGCTCAACAGTATGCTTTTTTTGTGTATTTATTTAACCTTTGTTTAACCAGGAAGTTCCTTTTTCGAGGGCGACCTGGACCAGAGCCAACTTGGCAACATTTACAGTCAAATAGTGAAAGAACATACATTAAGATCTAAATGATAAAATATCCTGCTGAAGAATAATGTATTCATTGGTTAGGAGGATAATAACCTAGACATAGAGGATCGAGGCAGTAGTCCAATCAGGAATGAGAAGAATCAACTGTGAAATGATCCTATTTCTAACTGAAAACTGAAGCAATTCATTGATTTATTAAGTCATTTAAAGCGATATGAACATTTTAACATCTGCCCATTTGGGTAAAACTCTCCTTTAGTATAGATTTAAATGAGTTCCTGTAACTGCAGCAAATGTTGGATGTTGTCCAAGCCTAGGATGCTGCGTAGGAAAAGGCTGTTCTACGCCGCTTTAGTTCTGGGGATGTTAAACAAAAGCTGCTGGGAGGAGCCTGAATTGTAGCCACTGTTGGCGGGAGTCAGGCGCCGACCCAGGTATGAGGGCAGCTTTCATTTGGTTTCATACATGCAGACACGCCTGTGGGGCTGTGTCCTTATGCTCAGTGATGTTCAGCTCGCAGTGATGAGGACTCATGAGGTTTATTTGAAAAAAACTGGGCACTACAATTCTTTTTATTCAAATTTATGATTATTTCTTTGACCAATTAATTACACACTAGTAAATTGGTTGATACATGCCATTCAGATTAAACTGTCCATACCTCATTTTCTGAAGTGGAAAAAATTCCCATAGATAAAGTCAGCTTGTAATCAACAATTATCATGAGAATGCATGTTTTTAGGCAAGGCAAGGCAAGTTTATTTGTATAGCACAATTCATACACAAGGCAACTCAAAGTGCTGAACAAAATTTGATAGCATTAAAATAAATAATCACAGTACATTAAAAAGAAAGAATATAAAATCATCAGTTAATCCCTCAGGTAATGCAAAAAGCGTATAGACTATACAAAATAAGTAAATACTGAGGAACACTCGAGAATATGGCAACAAGCTCCCAATCGCAAATCAAACTGCAAAATTAAGCACTTTACTTTGCATGGAAAAATGTGGTCTCCAAATTAAAATGTCTTTTAAGAAAAATTCAGACATTCCAAAGATTAATAGAAAGAACCTGGACGAGGCTCCTCATGATGACAGAAAGCCGTAACTCGCTCCACAACAAACACTCACAAGCATTTTGCTTAAGGCCATAACCTCCTTTTAAGTTCATGCACTGTAATTTACAAAGAAATACAAGCCCTCTTTTGTGAAGCCACGTTGCCCTATATTCAAGATTTATTTTTTTATAGGTGGGTAACATAACACAAGAAAGAGAACACATGGAGAACATACAGTTATTCATATTGTGGTAGTTTTAAATGTATTGTATGTATTTATTCTAAGAGCGTCTTAGCTCCATGAACTATAGTACACACAGCAGCACAGATCCTTGTCATCAGAACAGCCGAAGAGCCTAAGGCCAAAACTATGATGTGTCTGTGACGAGGCCTGATCTGCCGCCCGTTCTTTTATTCATTTATGTTCTGTCATGCAACACATCAAATATAATCTTATTTATATTAGACCGCTATCAGATAAGGAACAGATTACATTTTTCAAATATTATGAACACAATACTAAAGCTTTGCCATCTACAAGTTGAGAATTATTTTTTAGTTGGGATGCACAATAATATCTGACCCTGATAAGTATCACCTGATGATGTGACATTAATCAGATGTCTGAAAATAAATGTATCGAACTGAGCAGTATTTCCACAGTTTGTCCCTGTCCCGCGCTCTGACCTGAAGCTACAGCCCCTGGCCCTCTGCAGAGAGCTGAAACTGGGGAGAATTCTCTAATTTAAAGGAAAGTTTACTTGTTTGGAGAAAAGCAACTTTGGCAAAACTGCATTGTACTGTATCCGCGATAACAAAGAGAAACTACACACTTCCTAAATGAGATGAATGTTCTTGATCAAACCAAATGCCACCACAGCGTTGTGCCAAGAGGAGGCCAATAGAATGATAGAAGGAATACATAAAAAAAATCATGTATTAAATAACTTTGCTTTACATTTCAAAAATAATTCTTCATTAACATGTATTATTATCTGTGTCAGTTTTGGTGCCAACTCCAAATTTGTGGTTATTGGTATAAAATATTCAATAATAAACATGTAATAAGGAAACATAGACCTCTCGACTTTGAAGTAGATCTTCCAAATCATAGTCATAACATCCTATCATCCTGAAGCTGCGTGGCATCGCATCCATCTCTGATATAATAATAGAATAATGTGAGGCCATGTCAGGTAAGTTACAGGTTGGATGTGTGGCTGAATGTACAGTATTTATCAATGCACCATGAAGCCATAAATGCCCCACAACTTGGAATATCCCAGAAAAATCAAATGAAGGAGTGGAGCAGTCATAGCGGGAGTGTTTGTGATTACATGCAGATAGTGTTATATACAGCTTGATTTTGGAGAGCTGTAATTTAACGCGGAGCTTGCAGAGAAAATCTACTTTTGAAATGACTGTTTGTGGAATAATATGCTGCTTGAACATAATCAACACAATGTGATGGTGGCAAATGGCAATCCAGACTATTGATTAAATGGCATATTGCTCGAACTAAAATACTTCAAATGTGTTTATATGCACTTAACAATGAACCCATATGCACGGCTAAATATGTGTGTTAAAATATGAAGTAGTTTTAAGATGTGGTATAAAAGAATCGCCAAATTAACTTAAAAAATAAACACTTGACAGAGAAGATTAGAAAACAAGGCACCATTTCAAGGAGATTAATTTAATACAAAATAGTGGTTACTTAGAGCTGTGCAATCACTGAAACCAATCATTCCGATTATGAAAACATGTGGAAATGTTCATGGATGATATATTTTTTTCATTAACCCCCGAAATTACTTTACAATTGCTAGTAGAGAGCTAGGAACAAGTCTAAGCAGTCTGTACTGTATATCTGGTGCCTCAGCCTTAATTAAGTAGCTCCAGCAGTACAATGGTCTCACCTGTTAGCCCATTGACCAGAGGGGGGCGCTCCTCTTCGTCCTCTTCCTCCGGTGCTGCACTGTCCTTTCGGTCCATCTTGCTGACGGAGGTGGTGCGTTTCCTCTGTACCTCAGTGTCAAACTCCTCGTCAAACAGCACCTGGTCCACCAGGTCCGGCTGCACGGGGCTGGGCTCTGCGGGGGGCTTGGGCGTGCCGTAGTAGTTACCTGCGCACATGGGGGAATAGTAGAGCATTTTTTTAGATTAAAGATGCAGTCAGCGATTTTTTTCCAGACGCTTTTTTTTTTTATATTGTGGGAAAACGTCCCTAAACCCTAAAAGTAGTCAAGTTGTCGTGTGTTTTCAAATAGTAATGGAATTGACCAGATGCCCATAGTCTCCAAAAATGTATAAAAAATATTTTGGAGCAGACTGATGAAAATAAACCAATGGGATGTGTTTACCGCCCTTCACCCTCTTCATGTTTCTCGCGAGGGTGCGCACTTGAGTTATCGGATTTTCTAAAACCTTAAATGGCTGACCAGAAAATTCCAATTTCATGTTTGCCACCCACTTTCCCTGTTGTGACTAAGAAAAGAAAATGCTGGATGTTTAGTTTGGTGGAGAGGCGAGGGGAGGGGTTTCGAGTTGGTGCTACGGCTAAGCTAACAAAATTGCTAACTGCAACTTTAAGGTATTTTTTGCCAGAAATCCATGCCGATAGTGCCAAATGTGCATGCTGATAGTCCCTCTTCTGTCTTTCACATCTTTTCAGCTACCCCCAGAACAGTTTTCACAGAGAACAAGCGTACAAAAACAAACATGGAGATCAGCTGCACATGGGCAGCCGGAAACATGCCAGCACTTGCATGTGATTGGTGATGAGCAGATGACTGACATTGAGGTGAGCCAATCATTAACACTGACTAACCATTTTCCTTTGGTTCAAACATCTCCCGACATACTGTACTTTTAAGTTTGCAAATGTTGTGTTGGTAGGAGTGCTTTTCACTGACTTGAGACTTTTCTTCAAAATTCTGAAAATGGAGATGTCTTTGAATGCAAGCGACAGTTAGACCCGCCTCTACCGCTCCCTGAGGCTTACTGGTGAGGCTTATTCCAAGGTGAGGACTGCTTTAGATATATAGTTGAAAAATACAGTATTTAAAGGACAACTCACCCTCAAATCCACTTTTTTTTGCTGATAAACGGTATAAATGAGTGTCCAATAGTGTTGTCTACATATCCTGGTCATTATCTTGTCACTTTGGTGCAAATTAGTTGAAAGTTAGACTTTCTGCCTAAAACCGTCTGTGAGGCGCCATCTGCTGGCGACCTGTATTACTACATTTGAATTTTGAATCTGGCGCCAACACTGGCACAGAAGTTGGACCTGACGTCTGCAAGTTGGACCTGACGTCAGCAGCCCCCCGCCCAGAGCAATGTAAACGGCCCAGTCTCGTTCACGCCCCCTTCAGTCCTCCAGGCTACGCCCATTTAGAGGAAGATTTGAACAGGAAATGTGAGTAACGTAAGCTCCGAGGAGCGGGGGTGAGAACCACTTTAATAAAGTTCATACAACAAGGCCATATAGTCAAACATAGGTGTTTTTTTTTTTCTAAATACAAAATACAATTGAGGTTGCAGTCATCGCCTTTGCTATTATTGAACATTTTGACACTGACAAAACCTTGATCCAATGTTAGTTGGGGTTGCTTTGCCTGCATGGTTCTCTCTCCACAGAATTACCTCTCTCATCTTTCACTCTGCATTGTCCACAGCAGTATCCTGCCCCCCTACTTCTCAGCAGGCAGCTAAAATGCCACTGCCAAGAAGCGGGAGGGGTGTCGGATCGATATTGCAGACTATTCACAAACAATTCTGGACTCTGCGTGTCTCCAAACGTTGAGACTCTTGTGCATTTCACTCTCAGAAGTCCGCGTTGGTGCCTGGTAAATGGGTCACCGCTGTCTCGTAGTGAAGAGAGCAGTGGGGCTGTGTGTTCAGCCTAGGGCTCAGGCAGAAGAGGAGGCTGAGGTCTTAAGAAGCAAACCCAGAGCTGTATCTGAAACCCAGCCATATCCTCAGTTAAATTCTTAGCTCTGAGATAACGATTTGAGCTGTTAATTACAGTCAGAAGCTCCTGGGTTTGATTCCACCTCCAGGCCTTTCTGTATGGAGTTTGCATGTTCTCCCCGTGTCCATGTAGGTTTTTCTGTGGAATAGTCTACCTCTGTACATAAGAGCAGCTCCTTTATTGAAGGTTTTTAAATCTACGCCTTGGCTATTAACAAGTACTGAGTTTTACTTATTACATGTATTTGTATGTATTTTATGCGGTTTGCTTGTCATTTTTTTCCTTTCATGCCTGTGAAGCACTTTGGAGAGCTAGTGTTGTTGTGAATGTGCTGTACAAACAAAGAGGGCTCTGGTTTCCCCTAACACTAAAGACATGTACAATAGATCTGAATGGAATGAGAGAGTGAAAGCATGATGGGGGGCTTCGATGCACCAGTGTAAATAAATAAAAATTACTTACTTATTCGTTTACAGTAGCATCAACAAAATAACTCAAAATAATAAAAAAAAATGTCTATTTTTAATATACAATAAATACTTAAAATAAAAAATAAAAAATAAAATCTATGCTACAAACAATGCTATAATTTCATTTTCCGCGGCTTCATCCGTCTCCCACTTTCACTCACTACATATTAAAATGTGCTTTTCTTACGTTGAAGCAAGGGCAAATGAGTCATGGCGTACTCTTCATGGATTTTATGTAACTTTTCACTGAGATAAATGACCTAACTAAATATTTATGGATTTTTAATTTAGCTATAACTGACTTACAGCAATCACATGTCTGCCTCATTTTCAGCCTGGTTAACTACTACTACTTCTGCTGCTGATCTTAATCTCACACATTCATTCAGCAGTTACTATTTCCGCCGCGACTGCTACCACTACAGATTCCATGTACAGATTCCCAATTCTGGTATATAAATTAAAAATAACATTGACTGCTATGTTTTTGGTTTTGTAATTGTCACTACAACGTGCTCTTAAATGCATAATTTTCCGTTTATTTTGTTCTCTAACTCTCACTCATCATTAAGGGTGGAGGCCTCTGAAGCAATTTACATCACTTGAGATTGAGTTGGAGTCACTGATAATGATTAAAAAGGCAAACCATTCTTTACCATTTAATTCATTAAAATACAGTCTTGACTAAAAGGGAATTTACAGAGCGCTTGTGTGCATAATGTTGAAATGTATTTACTTTCCTGTTAGTTCTTTGTGATTTTTACCTGGCTGTGTGCATAAATGTTCTAGAGAGTGCCATGCATTAGTAATGAAATACAGTATGTGACTCCCTGGCAGGTGAGATAATTAGCAAAGTAATACGTTGTCTGACTTCCCACAATGGCTTGATTAACTTCTTCTGAATATAAAATGTATTCTAATTCCTTCAGAGTCCATGTGGCTAACCAGGGTCATCCAGTTTAATGGTGTAGTATGAATTTAATGTACATTTTGAAAACATAAAACATGCATATTTTGCAACTATAGAGCAGGATCACAATGTGGAGCTGACTATTTTTTGTTCAAGTTTGAGTTACAGAGTTAATCTAAAACAAAATGTCAGTGTCGTGCCATTGACAACAGACACTGATTAGACAAATGCTGTATTAGGTTTTTTACTATTTCATTTATTTCAAGCTCTATTTCAAATATTTCAAGCTCAAAGCAAAAAGAACTTGCCATATTAAGGAAGATTTAATGGAACAGCAGCAAACACATAAAAATACAGAACAAGGCCCATTTTGACCCGCGAACTAACCTAACCTAACCTTATCTCAAACTCTAACTTCAACCTAATTGTGACTCGTAATTAATCTGTTTTTATCCCTTTTTCAGATAATAAAACATTAAAGATACAATGTTGTTTACTGGGGTTTTCAACTTTCCCACGATTAATATTATTTAAAATATTACAAGCACTTCTTCCTGCGCTTTAGAGCAATTACACAGGATTATGTTTTCCTTCACGGCCTGTATTAACACAAGTCCCTCATTGAAACGCTATACCGGCCTCGTAATTAATGAATGTCTAATCATGGAAGGCAACCTGAGGCAGGTAAATTAGAAGTCTTAATTTCCTCCGGTTAAGAACCAAGGTGCCACGGACATGGATTTAGTGTAGTATAATTATTTTTCTTTTGCATTTTGAAGATTGAAGCATACATAACTTCCCCCCCACAATAAATGTAACCATGTTGCCGTTTGGATAACTCGTTTTCACATGTGCAGATTTTTGGTCTCTGTCACATTCAACCAGATATTTCAGGCAGAAAGGTGAAAAAGAGAGGAGCACACTCACTCAGTCAATCAGCTCTAAGCCCAAAGCATCAAACAGTGACTCACATGGCTCCTTTTATCCAAAATATAATGTGATTTCTAACTAAATGAAGACAGCATGGTGTGGGCTGGTTTACATTTTAGTTTGTTATTTGTGAAATATAAATATGTATCCCAGCTTCTTTGCAGTACTTCACATTGAATCATAGTAACAAAACCTGATGAGTTTTATTTCAATATTCCTCCATGAATCCTGCTACAACAAAGTACAGTAGTCTCCAATCCTTTCTCAATCAGAGAGCTACTTTTAATGTCAATAGAATGACTGTAATACCATGCAACTAGTTAAAATCCTCCAGCTGCGGTAGTCCTGACCAATCAGAGCATCTGGAGATGGTTTCCCGGGCCCCGTTTCTTGCGACCACTGCTCCTGACGTAAGCCTTATCGACATCAAGGATGGGGTCAAATGCAGAGGATGGAAATGCCCTACGTGGAATAATAAAGTGCACCTTTACCTTTACTTTACCTTGAGACTACATTCTTTGTTTAGTCGTATATAACGTCTAAATAAAAACTACAATAAAATTTGGAGTACACAGATGTAAGAATATACTATACTTACCCTTACATTTATACTCACAATATAATCATTCCGTATCATGTGTTAAACTCGAAATCCATTGAAGACTACCTGAAATGGGCTGGCGAGCTACCTGTGGCGTACCGAGCTACAGGTTGAGACCCCTGCTCTAGGCCCAATGAAGCCCTGTAGGAAGTGCCTCATGTTGAAGTTTTGCTGTACTCGCACTGGCTTCTAGTGACTTTGAAACTTGATTTTTTTTCACACCGTAATAAATACAAATATTGTAAATCC